ACCGGAAACCCCGGGCCCGTAAAGGTTTTTCTGGAGATATGTCAAATTTTCCAATAATGCGCTTTCGTTTATTTTAGCAGTGGGCCTGTTTCATCCCCTTGCTGTGTAGGCCGTTAAAAGCCTTTTACCAGAGAGCAATGGAAAAAAGTCGGCATGCCCATTCTGTCTTGGGCCCTTTCCCCGGTTTTTTGGCCCTTTCGTTCAAACCCCCATTAAATAAATCCCTATTTTCCCCAAAACCGTGCGTTTTGGGAGGGAAACTTTGGGTCCCATGACCCTCCCAAAAAAAACCTTTTTTTCCTTGACCCACTATTTCTGGACTCAGTTGGGGGTTTAAGAAAAGGGGGGAGGGGGTTTATGATGAAGACTTGAATCAAACGGGCGCCGGGGAGGTGGGGTTGGCAGATGAAGTCTTGGACTTTCTTCTGAGCCCGTCTCGATGGAGGTTTCTGTACTGCTGCTGAAAATCTTTTCAGGTCCTTTTAAGAATGTTTTTTCAATGAGTCCTCCCTTTTTTCTGCTGTGCTTCCATGAAGTTTTGCGCAGAGACCGATTTCCTTTCCCCGACTCCCCCAAATTGAGTCTGGGCTGCTTTCCCTCTTCTCATCGAGATTTTAGAAATTTTTGAGTTTTTTCCCTAGTGTTTTTTTTTGGAAGCTTCCTCTTGCTGCTGAGAGCGCAGTCCAGTCCTCTGCTTTGGGAGGCGGATGGTTTTCCTTCGACATGCCATCCCACTCCTGACACCATCTGTCGTGGGTTCTTCCTAACAGCCTCTGTGTTAGACCTCGATACGGTCAACTTGACTCCAAAATCATGAGAAAAAACATCATGGAGGGCATGTCGACGTCTTCAGTTTATCATATTTATTTCACACCTCCCAAAAATAAGAGCAGAGTAGCAGGGGAAAATGCAAAAAAAAATGATATGGAAACAAATGTAGTATTTCCATCATTTGAGACAAAAATACCTTTTGTGCTGCACAGCAATGTTACCTTCTCTGTAACCAGGCCAGACTGACTCAGTAAGGTCAGCAGCTCTCCTTATAAATCCTAAGCCCCGCCCTACAATTAGATCAGCAAACAATTGAGTATTGGTTTTAATAATAATAAGGGAAAAATAAAAAATAAAAAAAACATTTATTCCTAGAGGAAAAAAAAATAATAATAATTTTCTGTTTCCATTCTGAAGTTACTATCTTAAAAAAAAAATACAATTAAATTTGCCAGCGGAAATCACTGACTTCCTTTATGAGGAGAAACAAACAGGAAAGAAAAAACCCTGAAAATGCCCCGCCCACTTTCTCTCAAACAACGCTCCATGGGTAAGTGCAAACGTGTGTATGTGTTTAAGTGTAAATGTATGAGTTCCGATTAATGGGCATCACCAAGTGTGCACCCTTGGTCGTGCCACATCACACAAGAGGCAAATGTAAGTGAGTAAAGCGATTGATCTGTAACTATCATACACGGGAAGGGACTCGCAGTTGAATGGGTGTGTGCGCACGTGCATTTCTCTGTGTATGTATGTGTGCGTGCATGCGTATCAGCGGGAGGGACCGCGTTGCCCCGTCACAATATATATATATATATATATATATATATATATATATATATATATATATATATATATATATATATACACTATATTGCCAAAAGTATTTGCTCACCTGCCTTGACTCACATATGAGCTTAAGTGACATCCCGTTCCTAATCCATAGGGTTCAATATGACGTCGGTCCACCCTTTGCAGCTAGAACAGCTTCAACTCTTCTGGGAAGGCTGTCCACAAGGTTTAGGAGTGTGTTTATGGGAATTTTTGACCATTCTTCCAGAAGCGCATTTGTGAGGTCGCACACTGATGTTGGACGAGAAGGCCTGGCTCTCAGTCTCCGCTCTAATTCATCCCAAAGGTGTTCTATCGGGTTGAGGTCAGGACTCTGTGCAGGCCAGTCAAGTTCATCCACACCAGACTCTGTCATCCATGTCTTTATGGACCTTGCTTTGTGCACTGGTGCACAGTCATGTTGGAAGAGGAAGGGGCCAGCTCCAAACTGTTCCCACAAAGTTGGGAGCATGGAATTGTCCAAAATGTCTTGGTATGCTGAAGCATTCAGAGTTCCTTTCACTGGAACTAAGGGGCCAAGCCCAGCTCCTGAAAAACAACGTCACACCATAATCCCCCCTCCACCAAACTTTACACTTGGCACAATGCAGTCAGACAAGTACCGTTCTCCTGGCAACCGCCAAACCCAGACCCGTCCATCAGATTGCCAGATGGAGAAGCGCGATTCGTCACTCCAGAGAACGCGTCTCCACTGCTCTAGAGTCCAGTGGCGGCGTGCTTTACACCACCGCATCCGACGCTTTGCATTGCACTTGGTGATGTATGGCTTGGATGCAGCTGCTCGACCATGGAAACCCATTCCATGAAGCTCTCTGCGCACTGTTCTTGAGCTAATCTGAAGGCCACATGAAGTTTGGAGGTCTGTAGTGATTGACTCTGCAGAAAGTTGGCGACCTCTTCGCACTATGCGCGTCAGCATCCGCTGACCCCGCTCCGTCAGTTACGTGGCCTACCACTTCGTGGCTGAGTTGCTGTCGTTCCCAAACACTTCCATTTTCTTATAATACAGCTGACAGTTGACTGTGGAATATTTAGGAGCGAGGAAATTTCACGACTGGATTTGTTGCACAGGTGGCATCCTATCACAGTTCCACGCTGGAATTCACTGAGCTCCTGAGAGCGACCCATTCTTTCACAAATGTTTGTAAAAACAGTCTGCATGCCTAGGTGCTTGAATTTATACACCTGTGGCCATGGAAGTGATTGGAACACCTGATTCCAATAATTTGGATGGGTGAGCAAATACTTTTGGCAATATAGTGTATATATGAATAGGAATAAACCTATCGTCCTGTATTAGACATTGGAAAATTAGTTTTGCTGACGTGTATTTTGTTTTCATTTTTTTGCATGAAATAGGGTCTTCTCAATAACCGATGATAATGAAACAGGAACTCCCATCATTTACTTGGTCAGCAGACTCCCTATCAAGATAGCTGCTGGACAAAGCACATACCCTCTTAGAAGTGGTTTGAGCCATCAGGTATATGAAACGTTCTTGACTGAACTAGGGAAAGCAAAAAAAAAAAATTTATAAGATTTGAATTCCACCATTTTATTCATCCAAAACATTCCCATTGAGTTCATCATTAGCTGGGGGAATCTTGTCCTTGATTATGTGAGATTGGATGTTGGACAACATGGTAACCACATAACAAAAATTGATTTATGTTTCCAAGATGTCTATTTGGGATCCAGAAACAATCTTATATATTTTTTTATTTTGGCATTGCTTTTTCCACATTATACCTATGCTTAGCTATTTTCTTTGTCATCTTAACATCTTTATGTGGCATTGGAGAGTTGAGCCTACCAAAAGATGGGATTTGTAGTTTGAGACCAATATCTTTTACCTCTTTTCCTACAAGAAAAGAAAAAAGAAACCGATTGTTGGATGATCTTTGTCTGAGATGGATCCAATGAAGATGGCAGGCTCATATATAACAGCGCTTCGTGGGTCACAGGTGACTAGACTTGACTGCGTTGGTAATGTGTTTTTTTTTCACAATGTTTTTTTCTCCCATACTGTTTACATTTAATCAATAGTGCACTTGAAGAAATGGAAATGTCATGAAAGCTGTACAAAACGAAATTTTGTTTTGTATACACCCTGTGCATACAAAGTGACAATAAAACACAATGAGGAAGCACTTGGCCATATATTTCATTATTTTTAGCACTTTATCTTGTGCTGAAATGGCTCTAGAATTACAAAGTGAGCTTTTTCTCAAAAGTAGGGTTAATTGTACATTAAGAGGTTAATACCAATTTTTTATTCTTGTAGTGAGTCAGATGCTGAAGTCAAAGAAGAGTGCGAGTCTGAGAAGGTGAGACAAGGGGAGCTCATAGAGGCAACATGAATCTACTTGCACCGATCATGTGGACACATTCTAGCAGTTTGAACTGAAATGAGAAGCAGCCAGTAGCATCATTAACTAGGATGTATTTAGGGATGGTATCAGGTATTTGAGCACAAAAAGGCCAAATGCATAAATTCAGCTGGTGAATTAAATAACCATTTAATAATGTAATCTGATATGATTTTAGCTTAAAACGCTATGCTTTGTGCACTGGTACAGATAGAGGCCTACTGGTAGTGAGAGTATACATGGTCAGTAATTTAGTGCAATGTCCCTCCAATGAGTAATTGTGTGTCTCTCTAAGAGCAATTTGGAATGTCCAATCAACTTGACAGGCAGGTTTTTGGACTGTGAGAGGAAACCTCCAAAGCCGGAAAAAACCCACGCAGACACAGGGAGAACATGCAAACTCCACACAGAAAGGCCCAGGACTCGAACCTAGAACCCTCTTGCTGTGAGGCCCTGGTAATACCTCCACACCACGTGCTGCCCTGGAGGTCAAAACAAGATAAAAGAAAACCTTTGACAGAATTTGTTTTCTGTGTATTGGTAAACATATATATATATATATATATATATATATATATATATATATATATATATATATATATATATATATATATATATATATATATATATTTTTTTTTATGGTTGTAAATATCTGAGTTCAATAAGTATTACTTTATTGAAATCAGGGGCAGATATTATAGCTTTGTTACATCTTTGTGCACCTTTTCTTTCATTCATGATTTCCGTTGTCACCTGCGCAGGTTTTATTATGTTGATTTCTTGTAATGAATGAACAAATAAAACAAATGAAAATAAAAAAATTAATAAATTCATTAATTGTTTCCTGGTTTGCTTGTTACTTCAGTAACTGTTGCCAAGAAAAAAAGGAAGTAAAAAAAAACCTACACGTAAACTCAATACTCACGGAACAAAGGTTAATGTTTATACACAAAATTACCCATATATATGTCAGATGTGCTTGGAACGGCAGCAACAGTTCTTTAGCAGTGTGAGAAGTAGGTTTCAGTGCTTTTCTGCGAGAAGTACATAAGGAAAGAGATAAACCTTTTCACCATTGTATTTGGCTTTTTGTCTTCTGTGTCTTTTCTCTGTACTTTTAATAGCTAAACCATATAGGTGGCTCTTTCACATTTTTAATCATTATACTTTGCAACCATGCTTTGCCATATACTTAGATTTTTGGGCATTTTTCTGATCTTGGGGAATGGATCGCTTGAGATTGTCTTTCTACAGGAAGGTAATGTGTTGCTTATACTTATGGAATATTTCCTCATATAAGTATTTTGTTAAACTTCTTGAGTCTGATAATATTTTCAGGAAAAAATGAGACTGACATAAAAGAGTCTACTGAGGACTTTGAAAACATCACCAGGACAAATTATGAACAGTTGCGGAAAGTGAGCGACAGATTCAAATATGTTGCCCGAAGCTGTAAAGAGATCCTGGATATCCATGGTGAACGAGAAGGTAGGCACCGTGCTTGATAATCCTCTATTTAGCTGGTTTATCAAATGGCTATATTTCACACATTGATAACAAAGAAATAGCTTTAGCATAAGTAAGATTCAGTGACAAAATCTAATATGGGGCTGAGTTTTGGGCAAAGTTTTAGCAGGTGTATAGGTTTTCTAGAATGTACATGCAATTGAACTGTGTGTGTAAAAGGAGAGGAACAGTGGCCACAAAGTTTTTGCATGTTTGCCTTCTAGAAGCTGAAGTTCATATTTAAATAAACTGAATTGAATTGATTTATTACCAAATTGCACAAATTTATGAGTGGAAGATATTGAACTGCAAATACATACGACCTGCAAAGAAATTTATTAAACCTGAAGTATATCATGGCTGCAGTTTTAAATCAATTTTAGCATATATAAAAGTCAGGTGCAAATTTATGGAAGAATTTCTACATTCTTTGATTGCAAATAAGGCATTTGTGCAATTACATACAATGGAGATAATCTGTGTGTGCACGTGAAGATATTTAGACCGTCAGAAACAGAGTACCCGGTCGTTTTTGAGGGGAAAAATATGTTAGTCTGGAACAGATTAATGCTGGTGGAGGCAAAAGTCTTTATGCGTTTAAACCAAAATGGAAAAAAATCCACAGCTCAACTTCTAGATTGTGGCATGTTTAATAAGAAAATAAAACTGAATATTTACAGACACCAGAGAACAACCTTCAGGAATGAGGTACCTGTGTACATATTTTGATAGGTCCATACTACAAATATTTAGTTTTGGTTATAATGTTACGAAAGGATTCTGGCCCAAAAGGAATAGTAGGTGGAAGACATGTGAGACAGAGTTCAGCCTTTGCCAGATCATAGTAGCTCTGTAACAGCTCTGAGAGATGGAAGCCATTTCTCAGAATCAGGCCAGATAGTTGGTGCTGACTTAAGGAAGCGAAGGAGTTCAGAAGGAACCCAGAGGTCTAAATCTAATTCATTATAAGTCACTTGATTTCATTTGATGTAATGTCTCCAGATGGGATATACTACCTGACCACTAATAATGGAATGAAGTATCAGACTTTCTGCGATATGAACACTGCTGGAGGGGGCTGGACTCTGGTGGCCAGTGTTCATGAAAACAGCGTTTATGGAATATGCAGTGTGGGGGATCGATGGTCGAGTCAGCAGGGAAACAATCCAAACGTGCCAGATGGTGATGGAAACTGGTCCAACAGAAACACCTTTGGTCTAGTAGAGAGCGCCACTTCTGATGATTACAAGGTATGCAGGGCAATCTAGATAAAGAGAGGCACTTTAGAAAGCCAATTTAATTTGGTGTGGACTGTCAGAGGGCATGTTATTTTTTTCTCTGAGATCAAAGACTTCCCTGTTCTAACTAGACAATTTGAACTATTAAAAATCTTCAAAATGACTTAAACGAACTTAACAGCAGACAATTAAGTGGAAATTTGACAGCCATACAAACATCTATTGGGGTAGACTTAATCAGCCTTTACATTAATCCATTACAGGTGCTGGTCATAAAATTAGAATATCATGAAAAAGTAGATTGATTTCAGTAATTCCATTTAAAAAGTGAAACTTGTATATTATATTCATACATTACATACAAACTCATATATTTCAGATGTTTATTTTGTTTAATTTTGATGATTACAAATGACAACAAATGAAAATCTCAAATTCATCATATCAGAAAATTAGAATATTGTGAAAAGGTTCAAAATTGATGGCCCCTGGTGCCACACTCTAATCAGCTAATTAACTCAAACCACCTGCAAAAGCCTTTAAATGGTCTTTCAGTCTAGTTCTATAGGCTACACAATCATGGGGAAGACTGCTGACTTGACAGTTGTCCAAAAGACGACCATCGACACCTTGCACAAGGAGGGCAAGACACAAAAGGTCATCGCTAAAGAGGCTGGCTGTTCACAGAGCTCAGTGTCCAAGCACATTAATAGAGAGGCGAAGGGAAGGAAAAGATGTGGTCGAAAAAAGTGTACAAGCAAGAGAGATAACCGCACCCTGGAGAGGATTGTGAAACAAAACCCCTTCAAAAATGTGGGGGAGATTCACAAAGAGTGGACTGCAGCTGGAGTGAGTGCTTCAAGAACCACCACACACAGACGTATGAAAGACATGGGTTTCTGCTGTCGCATTCCTTGTGTCAAGCCACTCTTGAACCACAGACAGCGTCAGAAGCGTCTAAAGAGAAACAGGACTGGACTGCTGGTGAGTGGTCCAAAGTCATGTTCTCTGATGAAAGTAAATTTTGCATTTCCTTTGGAAATCAAGGTCCCAGAGTCTGGAGGAAAAGAAGAGAGGCACTTCATCCACGTTGCTTGAAGTCCAGTGTAAAGTTTCCACAGTCAGTGATGGTTTGGGGTGCCATGTCATCTGCTGGTGTTGGTCCATTGTGTTTTCTGAGGTCCAGGGTCAACGCAGCCACATACCAGGAAGTTTTAGAGCACTTCATGCTTCCTGCAGCTGACCAACTTTTTGGAGATGCAGATTTCATTTTCCAACAGGACTTGGCACCTGCACAGTGCCAAAGCTACCAGTACCTGGTTGAAGGACCATGGTATCCCTGTTCTTAATTGGCCAGCAAACTCTCCTGACCTTAACCCCATAGAAAATCTATGGGGTATTGTGAAGAAGAAGATGCAATACACCAGACCCAACAATTCAGAAGAGCTAAAAGCCACTATTAGAGCAACCTGGGCTATCATAACACCTGAGCAGTGCCACAGACTGATCGACTCCATGCCACGCCGCATTGCTGCAGTAATACAGGCCAAAGGAGGCCCAACTAAATACTGAGTGCTGTACATGCTCATACTTTTCATGTTCATACTTTTCAGTTGGCCAACATTTCTATAAATCCTTTGTTTTTATTGGTCTTCAGTAATATTCTAATTTTCTGATATGATGAATTTGAGATTTTCATTTGTTGTCATTTGTAATCATCAAAATTAAACAAAATAAACATCTGAAATATATGAGTTTGTATGTAATGTATGAATATAATATACAAGTTTCACTTTTTAAATGGAATTACTGAAATCAATCTACTTTTTCATGATATTCTAATTTTATGACCAGCACCTGTATATGTTTTTGGGGGATTTCATGTGATCTACACAAACCAACACATATTTCTGAATTGGATAAAAATAAAAACCTTTGTTACTGTATTTCCTTTAGCTAACAATTTTGTATCACAAGTACTTTGAATAATCTCAATAAAACAGTTATTTTCAAAATTGGAATTTAACCCCCCAGAACTTGCCCGTTCTAATTAATATGCCTTATTACTTATAGAATGATACCTTAACCACCATGATTCTTCTAACTCAGTTTTCAATTCAATGTAATTACTTTCTGTCTTACATGATTGGACATAAAGGCATAAAAGTAAAACTCCGCTCTTGTCTGACCAGTGTCATGATTTTGGCACTAATGCCTGGTCTGATTACTCATTTCACACACCTGCTTGCCTCAGCCCAGTTTTCATTACCTGCTTGTCTGATAAACCTGTACTAGTCTCTATTTAACCAGCCTTCAGACCAGTCATCAGTGCCAGATTATTTTCGAGCCGTTGGTGAGAAGAATTCTAGCGTACGGTACTCTGATTACCTAATTCTGACATGTTCTGCCTCTCGACCTCTCTGCCTGGCTGTCCCCGTCTGATCTGTTTGCCTAAACTGTCTTCTGACTCCTGCCAGATCTCTGCCTGTTTGTGTACCATAACTGGAACTGTTACCTGACTCCGCCCTATTATTAAGAAGAACAGAGTCTTTCATTGTTATGCATAATGCAGTAATTTGTGTCGCTCTATCCTATAAAATCATTTAACTAGGGATCACAGATAAAGTTTCTGTTTTCAGAATCCAGGATACTATGATATTGCTGCAGGAGACATGTCTGTGTGGCATGTCCCTAACAACTTCCCAATGGAGCACTGGAACCTGGCAGCCATTCTCCGCTACCATACTGAAAGCAACTTCCTTCGTCTTTATGGGGGAAACCTCTTCAACTTATTTAAGGTCAAGTAGAACAAGTAAAAAATACCTGAAGTTTTTCTGATAAAAAAAATATTGTTGTAAAACTCCTTACACCAACACATAGGTCTATATGCACTAATGACAAAATTGTCACACTTGCAGCACTTTCCAGTAAGGTACAACATTGGCTCCTGCTCCAATAGAGGACCAGCAGTTCCCATTGTGTACGACCATGGAGACACAGAGTCCACTAGATATTTATATGGACCAAGAGCAAGAAGTAAATAGATCACAATTCTTTGTTTTTTATTTTACAGTACTATTCACTGTAATGGAACAACCACACTTTAACTTTTGGGTTTTTTTGTTTTCTGCAACAAAGGTGAGTTTGATCCAGGCTTCATCACTTTCAGACCCATAAACAATGAACGAGCTGCCATGGCGATCTGCTCTGGGGTCAAACCTAAAGGGTGCGACACAGAACATGTGAGTTTGGATAGCTTGACTGGATATGTTTATCAGATGATGCTAGCTGTAACAGTCATGCCATATTTGTGTGCAGTTTTGTATAGGAGGATCAGGATATTTCAGCTCCTACCAGTGTGGAGATTTCCCCTCATTTGACTATGACCGAGTGGGAGGAGACCAAGGCTGGGACGCTGCTAAGGAAATGATTGAGTCTGCTGTCCTGCTATTTTATCGCTGAAGGCATTTATCCTGTTAGATAAATGTATTTAAAGAATTCCCCAGTAGATGGCATTATAATTCTGTGTTGTTCTCTCTAGGTACACTAACTTCATCCCACAGTTCAAAAACAGGACTGTTAGGTTAATTGGCTTCCCTAAATTGTCCTTAGGTGAGTGTGTGAAAGCATGGTTGTATGTCTCATGTTGCCATGCGACAGACTGGGGAGCTGTCCAGGGTACCCCGTCTTTTTCCCATAGACTGCTGGACATTGACACTGGCCCCACCATGACCCTGATGGAATAAATGGTAGAAGATGGATGCATGGAAATACAGCATGATGAAAAGAATAAACCACATTCATGTAACTGGGATACTAATTGGAGGAGGTTAGATTTCCCACAGTCTCCCAATACAATGAATCTGTCCACAAACACTGGCCTTTTGTTTTTTTGAAGTCGAATTTGTTGCTTTAATAAATAAATTATTAACTCATATGTCTTTTTTTAAAAGATTAAGTGTTTTTTAAGAGAATTACTAAGCAGCAAGGCTTCTGCATGTTTCTCAAAGTAACTTTTTCACTGTAAAACAACACTGCAAAAAAGGGTGGACTTTTAGTGAATGAAGCTTGGAAAACAACAACACAATTAAGTTTATGAATGATTTCAGCTGTTTGTATATTTATTCACCTTCTATGGAAGATTTAGAAATTCAAGGTGAAAAAGATCCCAGGTGAGCAACAGCTTCTTTTCTGAGGAAGCCAAGATGACCATCGTCTCCTGCAAACTTGATATTTACGCCAAAATCTCAGAGCCTTTACACATATAAATTCCTCGCAGCTGACATCACAAACTCGTCAAATGTTCACCGAAATCTAGCCGCAGCCAAGTGTTTAAATTACACTGATTAGACACCCTGTAAAAGTAGTACATTTGATGTTAAGATCTGAAAATTTTGCTCTATCTACTGTATGCTTATGCTTACTCTGGTGTTGTGTATAAGACAGACAACTTTGAAACAATTACAAATCATATCAATCATGAAAGGAAAAATCTGGAAACCTGTCAGTTTAAAAAAGGTGAGAAAAGCCTGTAGGGATTTTGCATATATCAAATCCAATTACACAAATTTTCTCTGTGTATCGGAAAGCCAAGACAACAGCCGAAGTCTCTCAGTAAGAAAGTTAGAAAGCAATCCTGCCCCTTGTCAATGCTAATTAAAATTAGCTGCTTCAGTCCCAAATGATGGCCTTTAAAATGGTGTCTCTGCTTTCACACAAGAAACATCTCATGATGGGTAAAAGTAAAGAGCTTTCTCAAGACCATGAAGACCTTAATAATGACATTGGTTAAAGAAGGATTGCTAAACCTTTGAATGTTCGGGTGAGCGCTGTTGGGGGCATAATACTGAAGTGGAAAGAACGTAATTTCACCATAAACCGACCATGACCAGGTGTCCAAGAGCAGAAGGGCCACTTGTGGAAAGCCTCAGCAAAACCTGGAATTAGCAGGTACAATTGTTTCAAAGAAAACAATAAGTAATGCACCGAACTGCCACGGCTTTTATGCACGCTCACCACAAAAACACTATTGAAGCTTGCTTAAAATTTGCTGCACACTTAGACAACCCTGTGAAATACTAGGAGTATATAGTGTGGTCAGAAGAGACTAAAATTTTACTCTTTGGATGCCATAATACACATTGTGTTTGGAGGTCAAATGGTGCTGCACATCACCCCAAAATAAACATTACCACAGTTAAGTTTGGAGGTGGAAACATCATGGTGTGGGGCTGTATACGGTACTGGCAAACTTTAAATAATTTTAAGAAGGATGAATGTAAAAAATTTACAGAGATATTCTTGATAAAAATCTACTGCCAATCTACCAGGATGATGAAGATGAAACGTGGGTGGACAGTTCATAGAAATGATCCACGAAACCTTCAGGTTTTGAAGAATGGTGGAAGAATGGGCCCAAACCACACCTGAGCAATGCATGTGACTAATTCTCCATACTGCAGGCATCTTGAAGCTGTCATTGCTGACAAAGGCGTTTGTACAAAGTATTAAACAAATTTCAATAATTGTGTTCAATACGTTTTCCCTCTGCCATTTCACTTTACTAGACAGAACTTAATTTCTGGACATCTACGGTTTGATTTCTTTTTATGTGTGGATTGCATGGATTGATACAGACATCTGGTGAAAATGTAATGTCAGCAGCACCTCTAGAAATATATTTACTGCGAAAAAGATGGCATGTTCAATACTTATTTCACCCGCTGTATCAAAAATTAATCATTTTTATCCTAATGTAGGAGTTAGCCATACTTAAACATGCTTTTTTAACATATGTTCTCACTGCAAAAAAAGAAAAAAGGATGACCTATGACAGATCATCATCATCATCACACCTCCATTATGTTACCTAATGACCATATCATTTTTGAGTACCAGCAGCATGCAAGAGGTTTCTATCTCTAATGCTGGCTGTGGATGAAGATAAACATCAGCGAGCTTCTTAGCTTAGTAGAGGGGAGAGGTAAAGTATGTATAGAGTAATAAGCACAGCTCTGAACCATGTTCTAACTAAAATCAAGGAAATTTTAGCGTATTTGGTACTAATCACTTTGACAGTATCACACCAAATGTCAGAAGCCAACAACAAAAGTTGGGCCAAAAGGCAAATCTCTTGATTACCAATCAGTCTACATTCCTGTCCTCTCCTATGGCCATGAAATTTTGATTAAGACCTAAAAAAAGACAAGCTGGATACTAGCATCTGAAATAAGGTTTCTCTGCAGGTTGGTCAGACACTGTAGTAAAGCAACTTCTCCTCCAAAGTGAGAAGAGTCAGCTAAGGAAAGCTCAAATGTATTTTTCAGATACTCAATGGACACCATACTTGGGCGGTATGCAGGCACATCCCACGGGAGCAGTTCCAGGGGACGGCTCAGGACATGCTGGAGGGATTATGTCCCTTGGCTGGCCCAGGAAAACATAGGGCTTCCCTCAGAGGGTGGGAGTCTGCGCTGAGACTGCTGCTAAGAGGAAGAGGACAAGTACGAGTAAAAGTTATGTGAGTAACCCTTTTTGGCTGCACTGTCACTGTGAGTATCCTCATGGAACAAAGATCCACCAGATTCATTTGTGTTATAAGGCTATTTTTATCTTCTGAGAATTTAAAAACGATGGTGAAGTGTGTTTTCTCACGTGAGGCGGTTTACCCTGACCTTGCACAGCTAGCTGGATTGTTGCGAGATCTGAGTTTTCAGTCTCACAACAACGATGATGACGTAGGACTCAACTCAGTTCTACACATATCAATCTGGCTACTGCCAGGTTAGGTTTACCCTCCTCTGTCATTAAATACCTTAGGAAAGGTTTCATATATTTTACATAAAAAAATAGATTTGGATAAATATCTTTTTTTGCCAGGTTTTATTTTCCAATTATTATTTTATTCTTATCATTTAACCAGGGGTAGTGTTGGCCTAGTGGTTTAGAGCAGTGTGTCTATGCTCTGAGAAGGTTGCAAGTTCCCAGTTTGATCCCCACAGCCTCCAATCTGGGTTCCTGAGCAAAACCCTTAACCTCACACACAATGGCAGCCCACTGCTCCCCTAGGAGATGGGTCAAAATGCAGAGAATGAATTTCCCCATTGCGGGACAATAAAGGGATTTACATTTTTTACATAGCTTCTTTGAGTAAAGGAATTATCACATGAGTTTGTGTTATGGTCTGTCTGATTGCATAATATTAAACAATAAAACACTTAAATACAAATAAATACTTTTTAAATCCAACTCGAGTAATTTATTGGGCAATTACTCTTTACTTTGGGTAGAAATATATTGAAGTAGTGCTATTTTAACTTCAGTATAGGTTTGTGGTGCTCTACCCACCTCTTCATTAGGGACAAGTTGGAATAAGAGATAAATATCCAGCAAGCAGTAATCATTAAGCAGCTGTAATCATCTGACTGCTTTAAACATGTGTCACAAATAATAAGGGCTACTCTGAAGGGATATAGCTAAACTGCAAATTTACAAAAACAACCACTAACCATGTCCTACATAGATCTGAGCTTAGTTGCAAGAGGACAAATAAGTTCTGCATAGAAACAGATCTGCCATTTATTGAGACTAGAAAAATAGAAAGCCTTTCCTGGAAGAAAAGCTTGTGACTTACCATGTAGGAGGCTCATAGCAGAGTATTAGAGTAGAAATAACTTTTAATGAGTCCAAAATTCAACATTTAATACAAACCACACTCATAGTGGTGATAGCTTTGCACTGTGAGAGTAAAAGCATATCCTGTAGTTAGAATGGCAGAGACCTACATTCAATTGACAAAAAAAAGAACTATCTAATATGCCTTGACAGCTAATGGAGATTGAGCTATTAAAGATTTCCCTTTAATTTTCCACTCATGCACTTAAATAAAATGCATTAAAAGTTGTTGTAACATGAGAAAATGTGGAAAACTTAAAAAAATGTTTTTTGCAAGGTAATGTTTTTTTTCTTTTACGCTTGTCTCATTAGGGATTAAGGACAGGCAAACAGGGACAATGTTTTAATGTTGCAAAATGAAATATTCAACAGGAGACGAGAAGAAGTACATTGAGAATAAAATAACATCTGTATAACAAATCCTATCAGGGTTCTAATTTGCAAAAATCGTCTTCAGTGGGTCGTAGGGATCGTCTCACACCAACTTCTTAAAGCAACATAAAAAGGAAAAAAATGAGAATACTGAGGTAAATATTGTGTTTAATAAGCAAACATCAGTCAGAAAACTGACATTAGTCTTGGGATGGAGAAATAGTAGGAGAATATAAAGCACAATGCACATGTGTAAAGGTGGTGATGGAGGAGGGAGGGGGTCATATTCATCTGTTACACAAGGCAGCCCCAAACAGGAAGGGGCAGGAAGCTCTATATAAGATACAGATCAGGATCCAAGTCTACGGTACAAAAAACTTAGCAGCAACATGTTAACATTTGAGACCAAAGGGGCTAACAAAGTAGTTTCATTTAGAAAAAAGTCACAGTATTCTTTAAATTTGTTAAAAAGGTAAAAAGAGTTTCTCTATGCATCTGCTAGGGTCAATGCTACTCACAAAGTCTGTGTGTGGAGTACATAGGTAGGGAAAAATATACATTTATACTCTAATATAAAGAACTTTCTGGTAATGGCACAGTACAAACTCTCAGGAAAAATATACAATGTCTTCACGTCACATTTGCAGATTAAAATGTAACTAAGGTCTCTGGCAAGCACAAAAGTTTCAGTGATCAAGAACAAAACAAAACTTTTCTTACACCAAAAATAAAGGACACCATTTTGTTAGTTCAGCTATCTTGACAGAGTATGTCTTTTTAATACAAAAATAAGGACAAATATAAATTAATATATATTAAAAGACTCAGGCTGATACATGGGGAATCTAGTGAATAAGTACAGGTATTTATGATACAATAAATACTTGTCATTCATGACTCAGGTGAGGGGATGGGGTACACAAACAAGAGTGTTGTGTAGTTAACCTGTTTTTGTCTGCAGGTGTAGGCGCATGTCCGTTGCTCAATAGCTGTAAAGAGAACCTTAAGATTCAGCGCAGCTATGTGTACCATCATGCGCACAGTCACAAAGGACTCAGGAGGCCTGCCAAAGGAGCCTGTGCTGGTTTCTGTGTTGTGTTTTATGTTGAAGGGGGTAATAGATGCCCATACTGGGCCATGCTTTAAGGCAGCTCCTCCTGGTGGTGAGTCTGTAGTACTACCAATTACAGTTACTCCTAAAGACACACAACTCAGAGACAGGGCGCTGGACGTCTACTGGAAAGTGGTGAACTGTTGGTGAGCCGCCAGTTCTCCGGGGAGCAGAAAGTGTTGCACAGTGTGGCACACCGCTGGAGTATTCACAACCAATAAAACAGAAGTAGATGAAGAAAAATGTCTTTCTTTTTTTGTCTTTTTTCCCCACTTCATAATAAAAATAAGTCTGCTTTTGTACTTTATAATACAATTCAAAATCCTCAACGAGGAAGCATCGCTCATCAGTCCAGCAATGATGAGAAAAGTAGCCATTTTTGGAGTTGTTTCTCCTGTGATTTCTTTAGATATTTTTTTTCCTTTTTCTTTTGTGAGGGCTTACAAAAATTGTGGTGCTTAGGAGAAGTACTCCTGGGGTGTGGAGAGTTTCTCCACAGAAAACAAAAAGATGATCAATCTGGTAGGGGTGGCAGGAACTGTTCTGAGAAAAAAACAAACTTTTGTTTTACGAAGAACACTTTGTACAGCCGCACTTCACAACCTTTTCCACTTCCTGGACAAAAGAAGACCCATCAGTGCACTGGAAGGTGTATTTCCTGCGTTTGCTGCGGAGGGGGGTGCAGCAGGTTCCCTGTCCTTCTGTTCCCCCTGGGCAGCTGCCTCGACACTCTAAACGGGAGATCTTCTCCTGGGTTTGGCACGCCGCATAGCCTTGCTGTCTCTGGTAGACATCTCTGACCCGTTCCCCTCGGCAGGCCACCTCTGTATGAAAAGAGAGCATTAAACAATATGAGTAAAACTTCTAAGTAATGCATCATAGAGGTGGAAAAGGAATGCAAAAGAGACATCTATACGATGAATGAAACATGCAAAAGGATTAGGATGAGTGAAAAATAATAACAAATAATGTAGTTAGTGTAAATTAAATCAAAGCAAACATTGTCCACATTCACTATATTGCCAAATGTACTGAGATGCTTAATCTTATGTACATTACTATCCCATTAGTATTACAAAGGCTTTTATTGGCAATGTTCAGAAAAGACATTTCTGCAAGGTTTAGAGGGATTTCATTAAAATGATTGACAATTCCTCTTGCAGAAGAGCATTTCTGAGGTTAGATACTGATGTTTAATGAAAAACACTTTGCTCATACTCTTCATCTCATGCTTTGAATGATGAAGACATGCTCAAATTCACTGAGCTCCTGAAAGCTGTCCCTTCTTTCTAAAATGTCATCCAAAGTGTTTGATTTTCAACACCTGTTGCTATGGAACACCAAAAGGCTTAGTGAAAAGATATTTTTGGCAATACAGTGATTGTTGTGTGGAATATGATACAAACAAAAGTCTAATTAGAAAAAAAAAACTGAAAATCTTAATATAATGTATTTTTATGTCCATGAAATAACACCTTTATAAGAGGTTCCAAAATGTGATGGGTAAAGTACAATATTTGTTGATGATTGCACACAAAAATGAAGAAGGCCAAGTAGATAGAGGTCCATTGTCTTTTATTGCACTCTGTGTTGTTTTCGACAACGTTGGCGAAATTATTTCGTTGACGCTACTTTTTTTAATGACGATAACAAAAACTGATGAGATAAATTTGCATCTTTGATGAATAAAACATGACTAGTCATAGGTTTGAGTTTTCGTTAACAAGACAAGACTGGATGAAAATTAGTGGGTCATCGCTCACGCGTTTAAAATGCATCCTTGTGCTGTAATCTGTTAGAAAACCTAAGCAGTATGAGCTGTGCTGCTGTCCTGTGTTCCTGCATATTCTGCATGACAACAGATAAACCATGGCAGCAGCAGCAGGGTAGAAAATAACCCAGAATTTTTCGGTACTGCACCTTCAACTCTGACAAACTGATCTCACCAGCTGTGCTTTAGCAGAAATGTGAAGCTAGTCTGCGCTTCTCGCTCCACACTGATGGTTCACTCTCAGCAGTATGGCTCTTGCTGCTCTCGCTACTTAGTAAACTATATGTGGCTGATCATCCTCCGCCAAGCTTAAAAAAATCCCTTTGTCTAACTATCAATATTTTATTTCTTCCAGCTCACAAGAGGTTATACTAAATATCCTTTAATTTCTACCAAAAGGAACCCCTAAATTATATCAAAAGCAAATATTTAATTGATTACTGTTTATTTTTGGATAAAGAGCCAGATGAAAAGGTACATAGATCTTTGAATATTTCTTTCTCATAGTTCTTGTTTCTATTTATTTAAATATGATGATGTAAATGTTTCCTCTAATGTCATTAAAACATTTTCTATGTTTTATTTGAATATGTCAACATTTTAGTTGAAATATTCATGAAATTTATGTCTGGATTGCCATGGCATTACAAGGCAATTATGTACGTTCTCTCTGTTTTTTTTTTTTTATATCAAAACCCTGTGAATTTAAATCTACTTTGATCCCTGAGCAGTGGTAACAAAGGGGGAAATTCTCAGAAGTAAAGCCAACATTGCCAAAGTAGAAAGAAGAATGCTTTTGTTATTTGGAGTAATGAAGATTTTATTGATCTGTGTGTAATGCATAATTCATAGTAGATCAGGAAGTGTTTGCTTTGGGATGGAAACCTAATATGTTTCTTTATTGTCTATTTTGTTAGCTTGTCTGCCTGCTATTTTGACCAATAGGATGTGTTGAACTAGATCTGCTATTATTACAGCTTTTGTGAGACACTTTTCATAAAGTAGGGTATAAATACATAAAAAAAAAATATTTAAATTCTATAAATAAAGGTTTTCTGCCAAACAACAATGATGAACTGCACAACAGCATTCCATACCCAGCAATTGTAGTATATAGGCAAGAGATGTCAATCTGGTAAAGAATCTGGTTGTTATTCCAAATTGTAAAGGTTAACCTTTTTACAACATAAAACTAGACTAAAACTATCACATCGTAACGACTAAAATATGACTAAGACTAATAATAGTTTCCATCCTGAAGACTAAAACTAAGACAAAATCTAATAAAAGCTGTCAAAAACAACACTGATTGCACTGGTAACCAGAGAATACTGGGGAATCTAAGATGAGAAGTTTATGTTCATACCTGAGTAGTCCCCCGTGTGGGATTAGGAGAAAGCTCAGGAGATGCTAAGTTAAAAAAGTGTTAGAAGTGTTAGTACAGAAAAAGAAACTGTGTCAAGACACAAATAAAGAGATTTGTTCAACACTGAAAAAAATAACGCAACCATTTTCGGCATTTACTTAATCATATTTAATTACTTTAACACAATTGTTTTATGACCTACCCTGCTAACACGAAACAATTGTGTTAAAGTAATTAAATATTATTAAGTAAATACCAAAAATGGTTGCATTATTTTTTTCATTGAAGACCAGGTCTAGTTAAAGGAGAATTCCGGTTTTTAACACTTTTAGCCCATTTTCTGTAGTGTCCAGGATGAAATCGAATGATCGACACCAAAATTTTGACAATTGGTCCTGTCTCTGCTTTTTGGCTCATTTAGAATCCACCCCTGGCTGCTTCAGAATGGCTTTCATAGTGCATGTCCGATAATGTCCTTAAAACAACCTTAAACATTCTTTTTTTAAAATATGCTACTCACCGGGTCGTCAGCGCTGTTCAATGACGTTCCAAAAAAAGTTTCGTAAAGAAAAAACGTTCCTGTAGTGTTTTATTTAGCATTTTGTTCTGGAGTTCTGTTGGAATAGTCAATATTCCCCTGCCACCGGAAACAGTTGTAGTCTTTTCGCTTCACTCTGTGTACTCCGACGTCGAGGTGCTAACGTCTCTGTTAAACACTTTAAAAAACTCTGAAAATGGAATACGAAAGGTGGATTCTTGATTCTCGACGTCGGAGTACACAGAGTGAAGCGAAAAGACTACAACTGTGTAAACAGGCCCCATTTCCGTTTCCGGTGGCAGGGGAATATTGACTATTCCAACAGAACTCAATGGGATTTACAAAATGCTAAATAAAACACTACAGGAACGTTTTTTCTTTACGAAACTTTTTTTGGAACGTCATTGAACAGCGCTGACGACCCGGTGAGTAGCATATTTTAAAAAAAGAACGTTTAAGGTTGTTTTAAGGACATTATCGGACATGCACTATGAAAGCCATTCTGAAGCAGCCAGGGGTGGATTCTAAATGAGCCAAAAAGCAGAGACAGGACCAATTGTCAAACTTTTGGTGTCGATCATTCGATTTCATCCTGGACACTACAGAAAATGGGCTAAAAGTGTTAAAAACCGGAATTCTCCTTTAAAAGAAATGTATTAGAATAAAACAAGTTTCTGCTGTATAAGGGTGTTATTTACAAAGCAATTACTTGGTTACTGTCCACACAGATGACTGTCATTCTTACATATCATTGCACTTATATGAACATAAATCAACTGACCTCGGTCACATGCCTCCCCTGTGTATCCACTGTTGCACTCGCAGTATGCTTTTCCCAAGCCTGACACTCGACATCTGCCATGCTTGCAATGGGACGCGCTACAAGGATTGGCCGTATCCAGGTCCTGACCATCACATAGAACACCGGAGAAACCAGGCTGGCACCGACAGGAGTAGGAGTAAGAGTTTATTGGAAGGCAGGTACCATGAATACACCTGTACGTTGGAGGAGAAGCGACAAAACAGGCGATATAATAGGGAATAGATATACCTTACTAGTTCAGTTTCAATAAGCTGTAGAATTTTAATCCCACTCACTTATTGCCATCACAAGGATTGGTAACTTGCTGGTCACACAGAGCCCCAGTCCATCCTGGATGGCAGGTACAGGTGAATCCTTGGTGACCTGTTGGGTGGCAGTCACCCTGGATGCAAGTATCTCTCTGGCATGGCTGGCAGCCCGGCTCCACCCCATTTCCAAGCCATTGTCTGTTGTTCTGTAAATTCCCTGGAGCTGGAGTGTCTTGGTCCTGCCCTGCTCCCAAGTTCTGGAGCTTTCCGTTGATGTAAAGATTACGAAGGCATCCATGGAAGCTTGTACCGTTGCGGCCTCCTGAGCTGAGTTGAAGGGCAGAAAAGCCACCAGAGCCTGAAGCCTTTTCTGGCATTCCTGCACAAAGAGCAGCACAAATGTTGGATCTTAAGCACCTATATTCAAAAGTATGGCCTTTAAAATTTGGATTATTAATGTTTTTTAGTCATCAAGCTAAAACACTATCTGATGAACACTAGAAAATTCCCTGATGTTCTCCTCTTACCATTCTGTAACAGGTTTTCAATTTATCTAAGTGACTAAAAAGGGAAACTGCAGTGGCTCTGGTTATATTGGCCAATACCACTGAAGGAATTTGAAAAAATAAAGTCCCACACTGCTGTTGGGAAAAACGAGAAAACATACTATCCTTAACACTCATGGTGAAAGCAATATGGCCGCACAAGCTAAAGACATATCAAGGATACCGAGCACCAATATCAAGTTCAAGTCCTTCACATTAACATCATGATGGGTCAAACAACTCAATAAGGGATTAAACAGGAAGTTATCGTTCGGTTTAAGGGTTACAAAATCTGAGTTTCATCTGCATTACAATAAAAAGCATTGTTTAGATTAAACCAAAGGGCACTAGATATAAATATAACAGAAGCAGTCAGAACCAGTCAAGGAATATAAAAAAAAAACTAGAGAAATTAATAAAATTTTTCAAAGTTAGCTAAATGTATACTTCCCAAATGCAATAACACATATGATTACACAATAAAAAGTATACCATAACATGGTAACTACTTTGCAGTTTGTCATTTTATCGGGATACTGATTTTAAAACAGTGATGGTTCTGACAATGCTCTGTGCACCAATAATAATTCTAAAATATAGTGGAGGATGTTCTCTTTCTGGGTGGATCAAAATAAACTGTCCTCCTAGTTGTCAGTCTTTCTGGTGATATGTTTACGTAAGGCTGTCCTACGTGCTCGTCCCCATTTTCACTTACCTGTGTTGAGTCTGACATAGTGGAAAAATTGCTAATCTTCTTTTGGAAAGTAAGCTTGTATGAGCGATGCAAACAGCAAATTGTAAATAGAACGTGCACAAGGAGAAATGGGCTTGTGTGTGCTCTGACACACATTCAATAGGCGCTCCCTTTCTGGGGCTAGTATTCTGGAGATTTGATGTATGTGTGATGTATTAAATGTGACTTTCCTGTTTAAATCAAGGTTTAGTAACTAAGACATTGCCATTATGTGGGTTCTTACCTCCCAGGTAAAGTGGGGAATCAATGCTGAGGGTGGACTGTTTGTTGATGGAGCTGATGGATTTGGGTGGTCCGCCATCAATGGACAGAGACAGAGTCTGGTCAGCTGCTACTAACTCCACAGAGTGGAAACTGCCATCGTTTACTGTCTCCACACTGAGAAAAATAGAGGAGGGAGAAACTGTAGCAGCTTCTTTCTTTAAAAGTATGTCTAAATCGGTTTTTATATATTGAACAAACCTGTATATCGCAGAAGGTGGGTAGGATCCAGTGTCGTAGCTGACCCTGAGACGTCCTCTGTACAGCTCCATTGCAATGTGATCATCATCACCTTTGTACAGTAAGACGCCACTGTCCTCGTCAGTAGCAATCTGTAAATACAGGTTGATTTAGCTGTTATTAAACACACTTGCAGCGTCGAAAAATCCCTTCATATTATTTCTTACAATGACAAATTAATTACTTGGTGAAATGAATTAGTATGTTTTAGTATGTATTAGTATGTGTACCTGTATTTTTCATCTGATTTATTTCCATCTATTTTCCCCATTATTAGCATAATGCTAACATGTAGAAAGTGTGCTCAGGGCATTGCTTAATGCCAAGCTTGCGTAGGGATCAGAGCAACCTCTTACACATGGAAAAGTGCATACAAGGGCTTCATCTTCTAATGACTTCTTTTTTATTTAAGAATGGAATTTCTCTTGAAACATCCTGAGCCGTGGATTTCTGCAGCCTTTCCACAGGTAATAAGGTTTTCTTTGCTGTTTCTCTAATTAGGGGGAGTGTTGACCGAGTGGTTAGAGCAGTGCTTTTGTGCTCTGAGAAGGTTGCAAGTACCAGTTCGATCCCCACAGCCTGAACTCTGGGTCTGGCAAGACCCCTAACCACACACTACTCCCCATGCGCCACACAATGGCAGCCCATTGCTCTCAACTGGGATGGGTTAAATGCAGAGAGTTAAATTTTAGGCTTTGTACTTTGACAGCGTATTGACATGAAAGTTGAATTCTTTTCTCTATTCTATTCTATTAAGGTTCTTATCATCCAGTTAAGGGGGAAAGAAAAGGCAAAATCTGCAGCTAATGTGCGCCTCCTGCATCTTCAGGTAATAGACTGAAATGTTCAAACCTTTGCATATTGTCTCTCAACCGAACCCTTTTTTGGAGGTTGGTTATAATAACGTAACAAAGGGCTAATTACAAATGAATAAAGCACTTTTCAATTTAAAAAAAATAAAATAATAGAGAACGATCTCTTATTACAATGAAATTACGATCTCCTTTTTTTCTCCTCAACTTGTCTTTGCCGAGACTAAATCTGATAACAATTCTGGAAAAGGTTACATTTGAGAAGCTTTTTCTACCCAAGCAGAAAATGTCTATTGTATGTCCATTGTATTGTAAGTGCATGGTGCAACAATATCTATAAATAGAAAGTAGACAGTACCTGTAGGCTGATGTTGGTCTGTGGTGAGAGGAGGTTGGAGGGAAGTTGCAGGTAGGACTCCCGGTTGACAAAGTTTACACTCACAAGCGTTTCACAATGTTCGCCCTCGTAGCCATGAAGACACTGACAGCGGGGGTCTGTTCCCACAACAACGCACTGAGCTCCATTTAGGCAGTCGTGGTTGTCACAGGGACTGGTTCGAGGGAGGACCATTGGGGGAGTAAACTGGCAGAAAAGCCCACTGAAAAAGTCATATTGGCACATAGATTACTTGTAGGACCGGCGGTTAAGCTATGCTTTCAATTGCTGTATAAACATAAAAGGTGTCAGGGCAAAAACAAAACTCTGGATTTATCCTGCATGCAAAGGAGATGATAAAATCTACTTCTAACATGGAACATGTTACAGTTAATGGCCCATAAGATTAAGTTGCTTTCATAGTCATTATTTTGGTTGTGTTCCTGACCTGTATCCCTCTGGACAGATGCAGGTGTATCCATTAACAGCATCAATGCAGTGACCTCCGTTTTGACACTTGTTCTCTTCACAGTCATCATAGTCCAACTCACAATGCTCCCCAACGTAGCCTGGAGTGCACTCACACCTAAATGTGTAAAATAATTTCAGATAAAAGATTTGACAGTCAAAAAAAAAAAAAACAGTCAAAAAAAACATTTTAGCTTTCAGTCGGCGTCAGTCAGCCCTACAATCAACTCACTTGTATCCCTGAGGGGTGAGAATGCACTTTGAGTCGTGTTGACACGGGTTCAGTTCTGGGGCGCAGAAGTCCAGTTTCTCCTCACACAATTCTCCTAGAATCAAACACATAAACAGATAACATCAGTTAGTGTTTATACAGTGATAATGTTATAAACAGACTAGAATAGAAAGAAAATCCATATTTTAAAAATGTATCTACTAAAATTGTGTTTAGGGAACTCTGCATCAGCATGACATAGAGCGAGTGAATATCCAGTGTGTGGCCGTGTGGGTTTTTGGGTGTGTGCTCTAATGATGGATGACTCTCTTGTGGCCAAGACCAACACAGGGGTCTGATAAATGATCTCATTGTTGAAAATGTCATATTCCAGAGTGTCTCTTGATCATTTGAATTCAACTGAATCCATGATGAGACACCAGGGAATAAACCGATACTCCTGGCAGCAGAAAGTCCACTCAGGGAATAATTACACAAATCCATGGGGATCTCGGTGAACGTTCATGTGTGTGTGTTCCTTTAATCTTTTTAAGTTGTAAAAAAATAAGCAATGGGTATTTAGAAAAAGGTAGTATTGCAAGTGAATACAATTTCTTTTAAAAGGTGCTCATAAACATGCAATTGTGAACTAAACACTTTGTATAGTATAATACGTGTTGATTGTATTTTCTTTTTAATCAAATGTGAAATGCTCTGGCAGAATAGGTGAGGCATTGACAAAATCCCCTTTGGTCGACTGAGATAATATGGAAATTTGAATTGAGCATCTACTTCAGATGTTTGATCAGACTTTGACCTGCTGTAAGGTCAACAACTTGGATATTTTCCGACTTGTCTCTGTAATTTAAATGTCCACTTAAATCTTAGGATTCAACAGATGTACAGTAGGGTAACAATCAGTGCTTCTAAGTTCAGTTGTCAAGGATTTGATGTGTAATAGTTTAGCAGAGTTGAATGTCTTCAATAACAAATAAACTTCACATTTTGTCATGTTAGAACCACAAACTTTTATACTTTTTACTGAGACTTGATGTGGAAAATAAATACAAGGAAGTTAATTAACTGTTAAGCTGAAGGACTGTCACGGATACAGTTTTGGAAAATGAAATACCTGTAAAATCAGCCCTACATTGAACATCCCATATCCCTTAAGATATATGTACAGCAAAATTTTAAGAACTTAAAGACTTGTCTGCATGACATGTCTTAAAGGTGGGGCAAAAAAAAAAGTGTGTATTATAAGTGTGTAGAGTATAAAAGAGCCATATTAATCCTAAGAGAGCAACAAAGGTTTGGAGTCCATTTAACAAAACGTATCATCAGGACAGTTTATTGATATCTGTTGATTGCACACATCAAATATATAAAATTTACAGAAAAGTGGCAAAAAGAAAGCCACTATTAAAAGAAGGCAAGATATGTAGGAGACAGAGTAAACATGTGAATTGAAATGCATCCTGTGTACTAATGGCTGAATTGAAATCTGGGAGAAAAGTAATACTACAAAGAGTCGACCACATGGTAGTGGTGGAATCATACTCTGGGGTTGCTTTTCTTAAGAATACCCAATTAATCTAGTAGTTAAATGTTAAAAGGATTGAGCTTCGATGATAATTCTGGAGCAGATCATGATGCAAAACTTGAGACTAAGAAGAAGGTTGCATTATTTTATGTCTTTGTTTTTTCACATGTTATACTCTACTGTCTGTTGCACTTACAAAACTTTAAAAGCTTTAATTTTTGTGGTTGTAACAGGACAAAATAAGCAAATGCATATGCCTTGCACTGTAGGCTCATTAGCCTTGTGCTTATAAGACATATCAGCTCATAGTACATTTACAGACTAACTGACATTTCATTGGACTTGCCACTCTGTCAATACAAAGGAGAGAAAAAAAATAAAATTTAGTAAAATAAACACAGGGATAATGCAGCAACCAGCCAATCCAAATATAACTATGTTCATTCCTAAAAACAGGTCCCAAAATCACATCAGAGTAAAGTCATAGGTCTGACTTTACTCTATAACTTATATGGATAATCAGATATTTATACATGATCTTTTTCATTTCTATGTTTTTCTATGTTCATTTCATTTCTATGTTCATTCTAAAAGTAAGCATTTGGGGGGATCTTAGGGATTAAAAAACCATATGTTTTTCTTAGGTTTTTGATGCCTGAATTTTGAATAAATGTTACTTTCCCTTTCCTTTAAGTCTAACAAGCTGACCTTGAGCTCTAATGACAGATAAGCAGCAAACAGGTTCTCTGCTCTATTGCTTCCAAGCAGTAAATTTGCAGCAAATTTGCAGACTTTGAGTTATCTGTTCAGTTATGGGTCAGATTTTCTATGGATTGTGCACACAAAGCGAAGGGTATGATTCAATTTAGGGATGGAATCAAAAAGTAAGGAAGGAGAGAGGGCGAAGGACAGGAAGGACACAGAGAAGACCAGACTAACCTCTCTCCACCTCATTGGTAGCAGCTGCAACCACAAAAAGATGACAGATGAAAAAAAGTAAAGCAAGAGAGCAGAGAGAAGACAGCAAACAAACATCCACAGGCAGAGAGAGAACATCGCCACAAAGGTTAGCAGTCAGAGACAATCAGCACATTGCAAAGGCAGACAGACATAAAGCAATAGAACAGAGATAAAGTAAGAATATCTGTTTCTCACCAAAGAATTTTAGATGAATGTGGGAATTTATTTTTTTATTTAGATTTCCATTTTTGGGGCTGGTTGAATTTACAACTTCAATGATTACACCAAAATAATAACTGGGCCTTTATGTTTATATTTGCTTCTGACTTTACCTTCTCTGTATTAGGAGAAAATCACATGTATAGGAAAAAACAAAAAAAAACATGAATTTACTTCTCCACTAATTTTTTTTTTAACATCCATCAGCAAACTGCATTAAAACCCCACAAGTTTGCAAAGAGTTATTCAAATGATGTAATTTTGGCAAATGGACCAATATTATTGGAGAAGATTTCAAGAAACACTTTGCATTATTTTTTTTTCTACAGGATAGAAGTTAAGATCATTCCATAGACTTTATTTTTGGCTGTTTAAGCAATTTTGGAACCAAAAATCTGTAAGAAATTCCACTTTTACATTTGCCCATTAAGCTGATAATTAATGTGTACAGGAAGTCGGTTATTATTGACCTTGGTGACAAAGTGGATTGTAAATTTGACAGCCAGATTTAAGCAACTCTATAGTTTCCTTCAATTGAGGCGAAATTAAAGCCCATTCCCCCCCCCCGAGAACATTTAGAGAGAGTAGTCCATGTCGTCATTATTACCTGACAGGATAACTGTAATGCACTTTATGTGGGGGATAGTGGCTCCAATATTGATAGACTCTAAAGAGTGCAAAACTCTGCGGCATGGCTTTTATACATCACACATTAACCCTATTTTAGCCTCATTAGAGTGGCTCCTTGTATATTTAGCATTCATTTAAAAGTTATTTGATTTCTTATGAAGTCACCCAATGGTCTTGCTCCATCTTATCTTTCTGAGCTTCTGCACTGTCATGCATGTACTAAGGTCAGCTGACCAGCGATTCTGTAGGTGCTGGAAACCAAAAGAAAGGTGGGGGGGATCATGCTTTTTGAGTGGCATCTCCAAAAATGTGGAACGACCTTCAATTGCGTATCAAAGAGTGTACCTCTTTGTCTGATTTTAAAACAATTCTAAAAACGCATGTTCCTATGCAGTTTTTTTTCTAATTGTGTTATATGTATTTTATGCTTTTATTGTTTTTATTAAGTATTATAAGCTTATAGAAAACAACAACAATGAAAAATCAATGAACCTAATTAAAAAATTACATATTGCATGTTTCACAATCATTCTACTTATGAATTAATCGTTATGATGTCCTTAAGAGTTTAAGTTAACTTAAAACTGGCACTCTATGAATAAGACAGACAGTATTTAGAGCAGCAAGGGTTTGTATTAGATCTAAGTGGAAAAGGTTAAAAAACAAAAAACAAAAAAAACAACAACAACAAAAAAAAGTGATTATAATTAAGATATGAGACAACAATTTTATGAGATTGTTGTACATTCTGAAAATGTCTCCTTTGACTCTATGTTCAAAATATGTGATTAAATACTGATTAGAATCAATGAAGTGGAAATACACTGAGGGTGAAAACAGGCTGCCAACCATGGACCCTCTTTGTTTCCTGCTTTTTTTAAAAGCACTGTGTTACCTGTGTATTCTGGGGAGCACATGCAGGTGTAGTTGTTGATTCCATCCACGCAGGTGGAGTTGTTCTCACAGTCGTTATCCTCACAGTCATCAATGTTGATCTCACAAGTATCGCCTTCAAAGCCCTCAGGACACACACACCTAAAGGTACGCATAAAGGCATATAATCGTTCATGATTAGGAAAATAGCTACACGCAGCAAACTACAGATGATATAAGATCTGTGGTAATAATGAAACTGGTGACAGGTTATCTGGTCATGGCGTCCCCTCTGGTAAGATCGAGTCACGCTGGCTGGTCGGCTCAGTGTCTGTGTGTGTGTGTGTGTGTGGGGGGGGCTTCTCCTTTTCCAGGGAATGGCTCTCCCTATCCCAGGCAGGGACATTTTAAAGTGTTTAATATGTTTTTGCATTTATTTTTCATAAACTCACCAGCTTCCCTTCAATGCAGCAACAAAATCTCCTCAAAATTTGACACTGCGTGTCATGATTCGGGTTAGTATACAGGTGCTGGTCATAAAATTAGAATATCATGAAAAAGTAGATTGATTTCAGTAATTCCATTTAAAAAGTGAAACTTGTATATTATATTCATACATTACATACAAACTCATATATTTCAGATGTTTATTTTGTTTAATTTTGATGATTACAAATGACAACAAATGAAAATCTCAAATTCATCATATCAGAAAATTAGAATATTACTGAAGACCAATAAAAACAAAGGATTTATAGAAATGTTGGCCAACTGAAAAGTATGAACATGAAAAGTATGAGCATGTACAGCACTCAGTATTTAGTTGGGCCTCCTTTGGCCTGTATTACTGCAGCAATGCGGCGTGGCATGGAGTCGATCAGTCTGTGGCACTGCTCAGGTGTTATGATAGCCCAGGTTGCTCTAATAGTGGCTTTTAGCTCTTCTGAATTGTTGGGTCTGGTGTATTGCATCTTCTTCTTCACAATACCCCATAGATTTTCTATGGGGTTAAGGTCAGGAGAGTTTGCTGGCCAATTAAGAACAGGGATACCATGGTCCTTCAACCAGGTACTGGTAGCTTTGGCACTGTGTGCAGGTGCCAAGTCCTGTTGGAAAATGAAATCTGCATCTCCAAAAAGTTGGTCAGCTGCAGGAAGCATGAAGTGCTCTAAAACTTCCTGGTATGTGGCTGCGTTGACCCTGGACCTCAGAAAACACAATGGACCAACACCAGCAGATGACATGGCACCCCAAACCATCACTGACTGTGGAAACTTTACACTGGACTTCAAGCAACGTGGATGAAGTGCCTCTCTTCTTTTCCTCCAGACTCTGGGACCTTGATTTCCAAAGGAAATGCAAAATTTACTTTCATCAGAGAACATGACTTTGGACCACTCACCAGCAGTCCAGTCCTGTTTCTCTTTAGCCCAGGCAAGACGCTTCTGACGCTGTCTGTGGTTCAAGAGTGGCTTGACACAAGGAATGCGACAGCAGAAACCCATGTCTTTCATACGTCTGTGTGTGGTGGTTCTTGAAGCACTCACTCCAGCTGCAGTCCACTCTTTGTGAATCTCCCCCACATTTTTGAATGGGTTTTGTTTCACAATCCTCTCCAGGGTGCGGTTATCTCTCTTGCTTGTACACTTTTTTCGACCACATCTTTTCCTTCCCTTCGCCTCTCTATTAATGTGCTTGGACACTGAGCTCTGTGAACAGCCAGCCTCTTTAGCGATGACCTTTTGTGTCTTGCCCTCCTTGTGCAAGGTGTCGATGGTCGTCTTTTGGACAACTGTCAAGTCAGCAGTCTTCCCCATGATTGTGTAGCCTATAGAACTAGACTGAAAGACCATTTAAAGGCTTTTGCAGGTGGTTTGAGTTAATTAGCTGATTAGAGTGTGGCACCAGGGGCCATCAATTTTGAACCTTTTCACAATATTCTAATTTTCTGATATGATGAATTTGAGATTTTCATTTGTTGTCATTTGTAATCATCAAAATTAAACAAAATAAACATCTGAAATATATGAGTTTGTATGTAATGTATGAATATAATATACAAGTTTCACTTTTTAAATGGAATTACTGAAATCAATCTACTTTTTCATGATATTCTAATTTTATGACCAGCACCTGTATGTTTCTGTGGGTATTCCTTTCAGAGCAGAGTGTGTTTCCTGTTTTTATACTTGGGGTAAAATGAGCTGCCAGACGGCTCTTTACTGCCTGACGATTAACCAACCTGGTAAAGTTAAGACTGCTGAACATTTCGTACAACCTAAATAGGGTGATTCTTTGAAATGTATCGTAAGTTTTAGATCCTGTCTGTTACTGCTGTAACTTTTCCCCATGTTCCATGTCCCTTCAGGTAAAAAGCCTGGAAATTATTTATACTTCTCCTAGAGCCTCTGACAAACTTTTTCATTTCAAGAAGCTTTCTTGGATTTCTTTTTCCAAGGGTTGACCTCTTCAGCAACCTGTCTGCCCTCCATACTTTCTATATCTAAGTCAACTTTAACATGCCATCATTCCTATTCTATGTAGCCCCTTAAAATAAACTTTCAAACTGAAGTATTCAGTCTACATCCAAAAGCCCATTTTTACTTTGTAACAGTAAATAAATAGGCTGAGTGTCTGGAGTTTTCTATCTCCATACCTGAAGAATTACTTGCATAATTATAATTTAGAACATTTATAGTCTCCTTGGGGACGTCTTGATATTACAGATCTACGTGCCAAAGGGTAACGTGTCTCAGCTTAGTAGCTACTCCATAGCTACCACACATACACATGAACACACATACTGTGCTATATTATGAGTTTAATCAAGAGCTCTTTATGCGTTACGCGCTCTGATGATGATATCTCATTATAGTCAGTGGCAGTACTTCAGAAGGAATATAGTCAGATTAGTATAAAAAGTCAGGTGATGATAAAAATGTATGATAGGTATTAACAGGAGATGGAGGGGGAACACAAGGAGGAGTGATTTGGGAGTTTGTCTAATTATCTGTGTTAATATCTATTTGGTTAGGTTACCTCCTGTTGGCACTTAATAGCTTCATGATCAGATTTCAGCCTCTTCATTAGGCCTTTTTGGAAGGCCTATAAAGGTACTCAGAAATAACAGAAGAAGCCCCCTGAGCTAATTAGGTCTGTGAATTCATTAGCAGCTCCTATAACAGGTTTAGTGACAATGATTGAGGAACATCTGCTATGTCTTTGGATGCGTTCTGAATCACTTCTAGTCCTTTATACCAAACTAATGTCCAAATCTATGTTCAGATAGTTGGTTAGGTAAACTATATATTATATCAGTTTTTGCCAACAATTCAGTCACATTTAAAATATCAGAAAAATACACAAGCCTATTATTTGTCTGTCGTGTGCAACTACATTTGCTTTCTTTGCCTATGAGGGACAAAAGTGACAAAAACCCAAAATAAATATATAAATAAATACACATAAAAATGTACAAATGGATAAATTATTAAATATTATTATTAAATATATTTATTATTATTAAATAAAACAAGGAATGAACAAATAAATATGTTTTCATCATAAAAAAGGCTAGTTCTATAGTTTTTAACTAGTATTTGTCTATTTATTTATGCATTTATTCATGTATTTTCTTCTTCTGCATTTATACATTTATGTATTTATTCATGTATCTATTTTTACATTCATTCGTTTCTACTTTTATTTATTTCTTCCAACATTTTTTTCTGTTCTTTTCTCTATTTCCAATTTTATTCATTTATTCATTTCTGCCTCCATTTGTTAATGAGGTGGGTGGTTCTAACGTTTGTCTTCAGCATGACTGGTTAGAGTGATGTGCATGATCCTACCTACTGCTACTGCCTAAACCAAAAGCCTAGACTCGAGTACCTGAGTTCTTATGATAGATCATTTTCCTGATGGAAAGTTCTTTGACAGCCATCGCCAATGATTTAAGCCTCTGGCGAATTATGTCGACAGTAACAAACTAAATGACTACTTCCAGTTTCGTTTGCCACATCCATCTCAGCTGAGATGGATGTGGAGGTTGACTCGGCTGTATTGAACAGTCTGCAGGATGTTGCCAGCCAACTTGCCGTCCGCTCGGAGTCAGAGCGTGCAGTTATCAGTCTGAGCACGCAGTGAGAACAATGTATGGCGTTAAAACTCACAGACCCTCGCTGAAAACCTGTCTGCTGCATGCTTAACTCTAAAATTGCACGCTCAGCAATGTTTCTGGGCACGCTTGACTTCATCTCTGTATGTGCTCATGCTGAGCCCCACTCACTCGCTGTGTAATTGGTGTGATTAATTTACATAAAGCTTTACAACTTGTGAATGCTGAGATGAAGCTGAGCGGGTGAGTAGAGATCTGAGATTGTTTGTATTATAAAATATTGTTCTGCAAATTATATTAAATATATTATATTCATAGCTTAAGTTGACTTTTTTCACCCTAACCCTAAATATCTGCTCCTGCTCCGACCGACTTATTCAGTCAGTTTTTTGTCAGGCTAAGGTAGTTTTGTGCTGCACTTGATTTGGTTAAACATCTCTACAGAGGATATGCATTATCTGGCAGCTGCAGGTATCAACTAGTTTGATGGAAAATAGACATGAAAAACATGAATAGATTTTTGATTTTGCATGTTTTCCTTTTTCTCAGCAATCTAAGAAAAAAAGTCAGCTTTTGATTAGTATTTTTTTCTACAGCGATTTAGCCCCGAGACTTCCTCAAGGAAAGATACCATCTTCATCATGTGGTAAGGAAAATGTCCAACAGTGCCCTTTGCATAAGTTTGGTGCATGATTTACATTTTTCTTTCATTACTCCTAATGGCTTAAATTCAGTGCTTTAAAAATGAATCTTCTGGTTAATATTCATATAAAGCGACATAATGTTCTACTGCTGCAAGCACTGAATTAATGGTTTCAGAAAGATGATGATTTCATGTTTGTTGCATGAGCAGTTACGCCACTGAAATTCATAATCATCCATTTTAAATGCCAGCTTAGTCCTTACAGGGTCATGAATGAGCTGGTGCCTATTTCCAGCAGTCAGTGGGCAACAGGCAGGTATAGATAGGTCGCCAGACAGAGACACACCACAACCTTGGACACACACTGACAGACTTCATAGAGGATAATTAACTTTAAATGAATGACTTTGGGCAGTGAAAAGGAAGAAACTGGAGTATCCGTCTTAGCATGAGGAACACCCAGAATTAAAACCCAGGACCTTCTTGCGGCAAAGAAACGGTGATTCCAATTTTGGAAGCATTTAGCCAAGATTTGAAATCAGGTAAGGTTAACAATAATTACAGGAAAAAACCTGCACAATCTGTAAAAAGTTTTTTCAAAGTATCTCACCAAAAATTGCTTCCTTCTCCTTCCTTCAGATGGCAAGTTCCTCCATTTTGGCAGGGGTTACCGATGCAGGCATGGATGGGTTCCTCACAGTTTTGTCCCTACAAATGTGCACATTTATTAAAATCTGTGCCTTAACAGAACATCAGACATTGTAAAAATATCTAAACTGGCTATAGTGTAGAAAAATAATTACATATTTTATCCCACTGATCCGGAAAATATTAAAATATTTGTTTTTCACTTTTGGAAACATGGCATTGTTTAATGTATCACATTAAACAGTGTAACACATATGCAGACCTTTGAAGCAACATGAAAGTACCTTAAATCCATACGGGCAGGTGCAGCGGTAGTAGTGCACAGGGTCACTGGAGCATGTGCCGTCATTTTTGCAGGGGCTGGACAAACACGGATCACACTTGGCCTGGATACTCAAATCCACTGGGCCTGTGTGAGGCACCAACCCACATGAAACAACACATATACATGAACATTTTATTCATAGCAACTTAATAACACTGATTTAAGCAAGTAGAGTAGGGGGAAATATTAACACTTACAAAACACTTACATGGCTGTATGTATTTATGGCCTTGCACAGATAAAATTAAGGTTTATGTGTGTAGTTTTAATGGTGATATGATGTAATAAACAAAGCTATGATGCAAAAAAAGTTTCTTCCTGAATAAATTTCAATACGTTTGAATATAAAAAGAATTAAGAAGACCAATTAAACAGAACAACAAAAAAAAAACAAAAAAAAAAAACTTTTAACCAAACATTGTGAAAGAAAAATTATAAGGCACCTGGAGAAGATGTCTCCAATACAATAATTGCCACAAGTATTTGCTCATCTTAGACTTAGACAGACTTTATTGTCATTTTGTACACACATAGTGTACAGAAAAAGAAATTTTGTTCAGTACAGCTCTCAAGACATTTAAATTTTTTAAAAGTGCATCTGCATTAATATATGTTACAATTCATTTTCATTTAATTGTCTGTTTCTGCTTGAGGTTTCTTCCTGTTAAAAGGGAGTTTTTCCTCTCCACTGTCGCTACAAGCATGCTTAGTGTGAGGGAGTGCTCAAGAGTCAATGAGTCAATGCAATCCACTGGTTTTCCTTAAATAAAAAACTTTTAATCAATCTGACTGTATGATTTGGTTGAATTGTGAAATGCTTTGAGATGACGTGTGTTGTGAATTGGCACCATATAAATAAACTGAATTACATTTTTAATAGGGGTGTGGGAAAAAAAAATGATATGGTGATATATTGTAATTTTTGGCTTCCCGGTATAATTTCAATCTTTCAGTTTCTAATATTGATTTGAAAAAATAAAACAAATTATTTCAACATCTATTGATGAACATACAGAGCACTTGCTTTTTTATGTATACATTTACTTTTCATAGCAGGAAAAAATATTGCTATATTTATTGATATTGCGATATCGTGATAATATCATATTGTGAACCAAGTATCGTGATACATATCATGTCGCAACAACAATGCCAATACTAACCCCTAATTTAGGGTTTAATGAGGATTAAACTACCACAAGTAGCTATAACAGTTTCAATTATAGGTAAAGGTTTTTCAAAAGGTTGGTGAGGTGGTTAATACAATATCTTAGCCATTTTTCTTCAAGGTCTTTAATGAAGTCAGACATTGATGTTGGGAGAAAAAGAATCCTGTCCTTTGATCTCCACTATATATGATCCCTGAACTTATCTAACAGGTTAAGATTGGGCCAGTCAAGTTTTTTTTCAAACATACTCATTCAGATTTTGAGATTATTTTTGTACATGGGTGACTTGTTTTGTTGGAAGAAAGAGGGACCATCTCCAAACTGTTCCCTCATCTTAATTTCCTGACAAATTGAGGGTTCCGTTACCTGGAAATCTGGTGCAGAGCCCAATTCCCAAAGATCAGCCTCATACCACATTCTCCGTCCGTCAAAAATCCCTTTCGCAAAAATATATCATTACTGTTCTTTTGGCAAACACATAACCAGGATTTATCCTTCAGACTGCCAGACAGACAGGATGATTGATCCCTGGACACTTAGACTGTCTCAAGGGACATAGTATGTCAAATGGTAGTGCATTTGTTCTTGGAATGCCAGACAGACACGACTGAGTAGTCATACTTAGCTCTAGAGCTGTGGCGTGCATAAACATGAACTGAAATCAAATGAAAAACAAAATTATATTAGACTGGATCTTAGTTACTTAAACTTGCTCTGAGAAGACTGAATGTCAAGATTAACCGGCTAGAAATAGTGGGGCCAGTTTTAATATAAATGCCCATTCTGGAAATATCAGTGACACCTGAAGGGGTATGATTGGTAGGAATAGTGCTTAAATCTTAACTTGAGTGGTGTTTCGTATTGAATCTTTGTAAAGGAATTGTCCATAATGAACACCATGTTTAATAAGGCTGTTCCTCAGTACACCTGGCACAAGGACACTCTAGGCCAGGTTTGGATAAACAACTTTTTAATTGTATCTTTGGAGCCTCAGCTGTGTGTTTTTGACACTTAGGTAAAGAGAAGGATGGAGCTGTCCAAAGATCTCCCCTGGTGGTGAGTTGAAGTTGCTCATGGAGGACAAAGGAGGGGCATTAAAGCCAAAACATTATGTAATTTGGCCGCATGGACCTCGCAAATAAATCAAGCATAAACCAAGCTTAAAGCTACCAACAGAACTTTGTAGGAAAGAACAGGAAAAACAATCGTGGATCACATAAATCACACGTGATACAATGTCCATAACCTGTTATTTACCCTGGGCATCAATATGTGACGTGGAAGGAGTTTTGACCGAAAGCGTCAATATTTGACAAGCTGGGAGTGAGAATGTATTGGTCTAGGTCCTGCATTGCATAGGACTACATATATGACCATGAAAGCTATTGGAAAACCTAAATTCAATTACATTTAGAGAGGTGAGCAAATACTTTTGCAGTCAACATTATACGGAAAGACAAGAAAGTTGTCATATTCTGTGCATGACCATTTTCAATACAGAAGACATACAATATATTCCTAACCTTAATGGCAGAACATTCAACAACCAGATGGCACAGTGATAGGAACATGATAAGGATCAAGAGGGAAACAAAATGGTTCAGTTTAGGTAGGATTTTCAAGGTTGAGGAAAAAAGGGCTAGGATCATCCAGGAACCAGGGTTTGGAGGGGAAATACTGGGAGTTGACTGGCTACTTTACCTGGCACAGGAAAACCACAAGGCCCAGGAACTTCTACAGTGCGTCAGTCAGATTAGGTCAAAAATAGTTTTCAGTCATGTATTCAATTTTATTTTGAAATTATTAGGTGAAAACAACAAGGTCAACACTCAGTACTAGCTCCTTTTAGTAAAACTTCAAATCAAATCTAAATTTGAAGAGCTAATGGAAACATTAACAATTCACACAGATCTGCTAGCACTAATATGTGTTTTATCAATGTTTTAAATAAAATAAAAAAACTGGTATGGTTGCAAACTAAACATTTTACTTGTCACAAAGTGTTAGTGCTATGTTTTTCACATTTTTTTATTTGCAAAGCCAAATATCTTTATAATTTATGTGCTGGTGTTTTCTAACATTTGTCAGTGCATAACTTAATTTGGGATCTCCAGCTCCAACTCCAGCTTCTCTGCTTAAAATTTCAAGACAACAGTTAACTCAAATAATAAAATAAGACCTTAAATCACCTCTCCATAACAATAATAACAATTTCAGAATAGGTTTTGACATCATTTAGCTTAGTGTTTTCAAAGAAATACTTTATTTATGAAAAAAATGTGTATCCAAACATCCAAACCATCCAGACCCTCGAAAGTTATTAAACCCTGACCTTAGACCTTTTTATCATACAATTACTGAAAGTGAACACTACTGTAGTAATTTTCAGATTTATTTCCCATTAAAAATTACAATTATTGAGTGATAATTGGTTTTAATAGCTGCCCATTTTTTTTAGTTATGTATATTACAATTGGTTTGATAACCTAAAGAAATAATTTATGGCTTTAACAAATTCATAAAGGTTTTTAACAGGGCAAATGCATGACAAAATTGAGTTTCCAAAAATGTGAAAATGTTAGTAATCAACTCTGTGTTGTTTTGATATCTTAAGACACGATCACACAGAAAACAATATTGAAAGCATTACGTAATTAAAATAAATAAAATATATTACTTTTACCAAAACCATTTGTCCACAGATACCATCAGCTTACTGTTTCTCACATCAAACTTGTCATGATCATGATATTAAAGCAAATCATATTGATTAAATTAAACTGATGTATTAAAAAAGATGCTTTTCATAGTTCCTTAAGTAAAGTTTCAGATCAGAACATAGTTTCTATTATTTAGCTTAAATTTTTATTGCACGCTCCTCTATTCAGGAAGATTTACTGTTATTTCTTTGTGAAACAGAAGCTAGCTATTTTAGTTGAAGCAGTTGTATTGTGCTTTCTTGTTGTTTTATTTTTGTTATTTTGTACTTCAAAAGGAAGACACAGTGCTAAATGATTTTAGAGGTAGGTCTGTTTGTTGCTGTGATATGATATTGTAGACATGTGCCTTTACCTGTGCAGGTAAACTTCTTGGAGGGTGTTGTTAGGAGTAGCTTGTCAGTCATGTCCCCGGGCCCAGCACAGCGGGCGATGCCAGGCTCTTTGTAGCCACTCTTCACCCAGTCAGACAGCCACTGCATGTGGCAGTCACAGTACAAAGGATTGGCACCCAGAGCCCTGCAGCACGAGCATAAGGAAGATTGAAAGCAATATCCTCCACAATGAATGTTTAGAAAGTTAAAGTCAGACTGTCACTGTGTGTAAGAACACAAGAGCTGCAGCTAGATTAACAATGTTTTATAATCTGTAAAATAGTAAATTGTTCTGAATAGTAAAAATGAAAGATTTTAGGGATCTTAGAAAGTAACCTCATAGAGACAAGTTCTTCTGTAATACGATGGATTTTAAGAATTACAGCATTTATAATTTAGCAACTGTTAAAATCCTTAAAAACTGGAAAGTATTTGATGGCGCTTTATCTCAAGTCTTGAACTGTTCAATGAACTAAATAAAAAGATGGTTTGTGTTACTTTGCTTTATGCAGACATTTTTTGTTTTCTCCATAATAACGGAGAGTATGGATATAACAAAAATGTTGTTTTCTGATGCTGTAAAGGTCACTTTAATTAAATTATTGTTTGGATTTGGCAACAGATTTTTGATACTCACAGATGAGACAGGGATGACAGGTCTTTAAAGGCTCCCTCTGGAATCAAGGATATGTCGTTACCATGGAGAGATCTAAGTCAGCAAGAGGTTTAAAAGCAGAGAGGAAAAAGAACATCAAAAATGAGGACACCCAGATTTTAAAACCTGATTAGGTACGTGTCTACATTGACAGCTTATTTTTTTCTATGTAAAAAAAAAAAAAAAAGAAAAAATCAGATACTCACAACAAACGGAGAGACCTGAGACCATCGAATGCCCTCACTGGGATGCATCTTAGACGGTTGTAGCTCAGGATTCTTTTCAAAGAAGTAAAAAAATAGAGTTTTGTCAGGGATTATGCTCAATAAAATCAATATAAAGCAATCAAGCATAGCATTATGACCACCTGCCTAATAATAGTGCATCTCTCCCTGTTTTTGCGACCAAAACTATTTTGATTCATTAATATATGGATTAAAATACAACCCCTTAAAGTCTGCCGTGCTATCTGGCAACATATTACCAGCAGAACCTGGTAGTTCTCCAAGTTCAATATGTTCTTCCTTGTCAGCACATCTCACAACTTCTCAAATTAAATGGATTCTTGGGATTTTCTTCCATTGTGTGCAACAATTTTGCAGCTTTTTAAATTTGGTGGTTTTTTTGTATTTGTGGTATTCTTCCTTTTTTCCTGTCTGTCTTAAAAAGTTGTAGCATTTTTTGTTTTTTAGTTTGAAGATTTTGCTTATACTTTCTGTGATTGTAGAATTTTTCTTATTTCATTATCTTTTGCATTTGTTTTTCTTCTGTTGTTTTTGTAATTTACATCATTCATGTGTTTGTGACATGTTTTTCTGTTTGTAGCAAATCTAACTGCTTTCTGTGACCTGCCAGCCAGAGTACCTCACCCCTACCTTATTGATGTGATTTGATTTAGTTTAACTGTGATATCTAAATCAGCTCCATGGAATATAGTCTGAGTCTGTGTAAATAACTTTTGTAATTCAACCAGTTGACTGTGACACAATCAGCCACATTTATTTGAGTATTTAGTATGTAACACTTAGGCAAAGGTAAACAGTGGCTGTGTCTGAAAAATCCACCCTAACCCCTAAATCCCTCAATCACTATATAGAGCGGGGACTTTGTAAAGGCTTTTATAATGAACTGAGTTAACTGACCGTTCGGACAGATGATCACAACTTTTCTATCCCCGTTGATCAGGTAACTCCGCTTCCACCACGCGGTGGCTGTACCATTTTTGTTATTAGTCGCCGCTGTCGGGTAGCGACAGCCATAGTTGACAGCAGGCGGCCGTGACAGCAAATCGTATAATGCTTTACAAGGAGGGCTCTCAGTGCAAAGCATTCCGGGATATATCTACTTATCTAGTGACCATGGATGATCACTACTTTTCAAGGTGCATTATGGTAAATTTCAAGTACACTACTTTTTCATCCACTAGACATTCGGACACTGATCTAAAATGGCTTAACAACTGTATAGTGCCCTATATAGTGATTAGGGCGGACATTCGGACACAGCCAGTAAGAGCATCTTATAGTACTTCTGCTCAAATTATGCCTAGGAACAACAGATATGCACACGCAGTGATTTCCAAGCCAAGTCCTCACACACACACACATACACACACACACACAAACACAAACACACACACACACTTGCACCCAAATTACAGAGGGACAAATGTGAAGCCAGACTCACAGTGTAAGCAGCTCAGACATGTTACTGAGGCTGTGGTTGGACAACGTGCTGATCTGGTTGTTACTCAAATCACTGAAAAGGAAACAACAGATGCATAAAACACACACAGAATCATGCGTGCGAAACTGAATCCACACAGCACACAGATTACAAACAGCAGATGATCATTGTTTGTTTTCATTTGGTCTGACTGTTACACCCTCATCAGTGCCAGATCAATATGATTCAATACAGAAATCTCACACAGCAGCAGCGGTCTGTTAGAGTTTGGCTTTGAAATATCAGCCGAGTCACTGTCCTCCATGTATGTTTGTTTAAACTATTTTGTCTCAATGGTTTGTTGGTTAGTTACTCCTTGTTTATTGAGCTAAAACTTACATAAGTGTTAGGTGTTTGTAATTTGAAAGCTCCACTGGAACCTGGGTGAAATGGTTTCCATCCAAATACCTGCAGACAGAAACAAAAAACAAAAACACTCATAAAAGGGATTTGTATACAAGATTTGGGTAGATCAAAGAGAAATATGAAAAGTTAAAAGGAAAGTCTGGGAGTGAAAACCAAATGAAGTTGCGATTAAGAGCCAGGCAGGAAATTCCCTATTTCAAACGGTGTAAGCAGCCATAATAAACACTGAAATGCAATATTCCCATTGGAGCCTCACACTTTTTTTTGTATGACGCACAAATGAAAAACATTGGTGAGATAATATGTTGTTTTTTTTCAGCACGGATGGATATAGATCGAAGTTTAATTGATTGAAATGTAAGCAAATATTAAGAGTAGTTGTTTTATAACAAATAAACCTAACTCTGGTGCCTGTTTTTAATTCTAAAGTTACCATTTCTTCTTTTTCACACAAGTGGATCTACCTCAGATTTTAAAGTTATGGGAAGAAAAAAGCTGTAATGAATGCCGACTAAGTTCTCCCAGGAAGCTTCAGCAGGGTTTAAAATGGAAAGTTTAAGAATAGTCTCTACTGAAGGTTTGATAGTTTCCTGCTCCTGACCATGCAAAGATATCTTAAATGTGCTGATCTTAAAAAAGCATTGGTTGCTAACTATACAGGTTATAAGGCAACTTCTAAACAATTCAGAAACTTGTGAAGTAATTGACTGAACTAGAAATCTTCTCCATGATGCACAGCATCACAGCATAAATACAACACAATAACTGTCAAACACAGGAGTGGAGGGCTTATGGTATGGGACTGCCTTCCCGTCCCAGTCACTTTGCATCTTATAGCAATGCAGTCAACCATAACCTCTGTAAAGCAAAGTATTCAAGAGAAGAGAAGTTCTCTCTCTAACAGAAAAAAAACCGAGTCATCATCATTAGAGTGATCTCAGACACAGGAGCCACAGCCTTAGAAGAGAAAGCAGAAAAGAATCAGGTCATCTAAGGTCTGGTTTCAATCAGGTTTCCCTTCAACCCCATCAAATCTCCAAGAACTGAAACAAAGATCTAAGGAGGATTGGGCCAAAGATTGGGCCTTCCCCAACCGATACAGTCATGCGCAAAACAATCACTTTTATAAAGTATTGAATCATGATTTTTCCATGACTGCATTGACAATCATGGAGGGGTTTTCCTTTAACTGTATGTTTGGTTACTCCTCTGCAGTCAATTTTGGTTTTCTATTTACTATTTTATGTGAAGCTTTAATCAGCTGGATTTAAACCAAAATTATTTTTTTATGTTAAAAATTAACCTTTGTGCTAGCTAGCCTTTTTCTTTGCATATGTAAAGCAATTAAACTGACATTTAGACCCGTAAATGTTAAGTATGCCCATTGGTTTAATAGATAGCTTTAAAGGGGGTGTAAAACCAGCAGTCCCAGATCATTTCTTCATCCCTGACTTGGTATTTTGACTTAGTGATAGTTTAGCATAAAGAGCAAAATAATCTAGTTCCTTGGGGGAAAAATCTGACATTACTTTTAAGTAATTATTAAAAAAAGAAAAGTCTATATCAAATAGCTTCAAATTTGTTATCGTTTCATTTAAAGAACAGTCACAAAATATTTCTAAATCACTTACTGCTGTTCAAATACAACCAAACAATAAAAGCTAATTAGTTATTTTTTAAGGTTACAAATATTTTAAGGTTTTTTAAGGTTACAAATATTTTCCCCTTTTTATTGTATTTATCTGAAAATGTATTGTAAAAATTATCTGTTACGTTTTAAGCCATCTAACACATTGCTTGCATTCTTGTTTTCATTTCAATGATTTATAGTTTTAAAAAACACATAAAACAGAACATAGTCTAAACAAAATACCAAGCTGTCACCATGAATACTTTACAATAAAATGTTCAAATTCACTTAAAGGAATAGCTGAGGATGTTCTTTTTCCGAGTGGATCATCAAAACAAGTGGTCCTCCTAATTGTCAATCATTCTGGTGATATGTATTTGTAAGGCCGTCCTACGTGCTCGTCCCTATTTTCACTTAGCGTTAGTGAGTCTGACATAGTGGAAAAATTGCTAATCTTCTTTTGGAAAGTAAGCTTGTCTGAACGATGCAAACAGCAACTTTTAAACAGAGTGCACAAGGAGAAATGGGCTCATGCACGCTCTCGCACGCATTTAATAGGCATTCCCTCCTGTGAGCGGGTACAGGGTTGTGCATTTGCTTTTTTTTTCTAAAGTAGAGATGGTGGGTCTTTTCAAAAATTCTAGGAAATCCTTCACTGTTCCTTTAAGAGAAAACAAAAGGATTAATAGCTACATTCAACTGTTATATGTATAAACAAAATTCCTTATAGTCTTTTAAATAAGACCTAAAAATCTCCCAGAATTGACAATATGACTCCCTTCAGTTCTGAGGCAACTAATGAGATACAAGTTCTGTTATAGCCTTAACCCATACCCTAAAAACACAGTAACCATCTAAACTCTTACACTGATGTAGAATAGCTCAACCTGCTAAAACTTAACCTGTTAGAACAAAGTCACATTTGCTTTGCAGCATATTGGTTATCAAGGACCTAACTGCCAATAAGCATAACTTAGCAGAGGTGGATCGATTCATGCCCAACAACTCCTTTTTCTACTTTTTATATTATTCTATTCAAGGGTGCTTGAAGCAAGGGGCAAGCCCACAAACCATGAATAATTATACCTTCTTAGCTCTAACGTTTCAAACTGAGACATCAGAAGACATTATATATATATTTTTTGGCAATATTTTGATGTAACATTATCAGCAGAAATTTGTGACATCAGAAACTGAATCTGAAATGCTCAAATAAAATAAGTATGCAATTAGATATCAAATGGATTGATTTGAAAATGAATTTTACAACACTGAAAAATAAGGAGATCATATATCACTGTATACAGGCAAAAGCCAATAAATTAGAATATTTTGAAAAACGTGATTTATTTCAGTAATTACATTCAAAAGGTGTAACTTGTACATTATATTTATTCATTGCACACAGACTGATGCATTCAAATGTTTATTTCATTTAATTTTGATGATTTGAAGTGGCAACAAATGAAAATCCAAAATTCCGTTTGTCACAAAATTAGAATATTACTTAAGGCTAATACAAAAAAGGGATTTTTTAGAAATGTTGGCCAACTGAAAAGTATGAAAATGAAAAATATGAGCATGTACAATACTCAATACTTGGTTGGAGCTCCTTTTGCCTCAATTACTGCATTAATGCGGCGTGGCATGGAGTCGATGAGTTTCTGGCACTGCTCAGGTGTTATGAGGATTATGTGTAGGCTTCAGAACTGGACTGAGAGACCATTTAAAGCCCTTTGCAGGTGTTTTGAGTTAATCAGCTGATTAGTTTGTGGCACCAGGTGTCTTCAAAATGTAACCCTTACAAAATATTCTAATTTTGTGACACACGGAATTTGGGATTTTCATTTGTTGCCACTTCAACTCATCAAAATTAAATGAAATAAACATTTGAATGCATCAGTCTGTGTGCAATGAATAAATATAATGTACAAGTTACACCTTTTGAATGCAATTACTGAAATAAATCAAGTTTTTCAAAATATTCTAATTTACTGGCTTTTACCTGTATAACTGATTTGCAGTTTGAAACTGAGTTCTTTTCTAATCCAGATTCGTCGATTTATGTTTCAAATCAAATAAAATTTATGTTACATCAGTGTTTCCTTCTTGGATGTCACATATTTATACAAAACAGAAAATGAGTAATACATTTGATAAATTCTGAAGTTTTTAAATCTATATTCACACACCCAAACAAACACACATAAGCAATGGGTGGATGGATATTTGCAAATACCTGTACTTTTTTTACAGTTTAAACTATGTAATAGTTTGTAGGACAGGAACTCACAGTTCAGTGGTTTCTTTTGGGACACCTTTGGGCAGAGTTGTGAGACCTTTGTTGCTGCAGCGCACCACAGTATCCAGGCAAGAGCACTCGGCTGGACACCTCAGAATAGGAGAGCAGCTGTTCTCATTGTTACCTGTTGCATACATTGAGGAAAACAATAAGAGTGAAGAAAAAGTGCTAGTTAAGAACAGATAACTGCAGCCGCTCTAACTCACCATCTTCACAGGCAAAGTCCTGAACAGCTACATCCTGGATGGGAATCTCCTTTAGGAAATAAGGATTCTGGCAGCGAGGATTCCCTGTGACGATGCGTTTCCTTCTCAGCCAATCACCGAGCCAGGCCAGGTGGCAGTTACAGTTAAAAGGATTGGCCAAGAGGTTTCTGGAGATCAAATGGAACAAGCAAAGATTTACTCTGAGCTAAAGCTACTGAGCACAAGCCTGATGGTTTCATAGAGTGACGTAAGCTCACAGTGTGGAGAGGGAGTGCAGTGTGTCGAAGGCTCCGGGGCTCATAGAGGTGATCTGGTTGTCGTACAGTGAAAGGAGCCGTACAGAACTGAGCCCCACGAAGCTGCTGTTGCTCACACAGCTGATCTTGTTACTCCTCAGCATACTATGAACACAAATAAATACATTAATATATAATACACTTCAAGCAAAATTCAAAGAGTGTATATTTGGTCCAATAATAGCAGTGAGTGGAAACTTTTTCAAAATTTCTTTATGTTAAAATAATGATATAAATTAAAGCTATTTTATTTGCATTTAATGTGATAGACCGTGACAGCATACTGTATATAGTAGCTACAGGATTGTGGAGTGGAATTAATAACGCTTTCCAAACATTATGGAGCTGTTTCTTATATGCATTCGCTTACAATAAGAAAACAATAATGGTACAGTTAAGTAGTTTATTTGTCTATTTGCTTAACTCTGTCACTTATTCTATTATTTTTATACACTTTTTAGGGTCCTCATTTGTGTGACCACTTTTGCTATAATTTTTTGCTGCTGTAACACTCAAATTTACCGTTCACAAGTAACAATCCTGTCAGCAGCCAATCCCTCCTGAGCTGTCTGTCTCTGCAGCTCCTCCAAGAATTATAACAAAGCTCTTGACTGATTCTCTGATTAATGCTTTCCTTACCCAGTACAGGTATGTCATTTTCCCTGGATGATCATGTATTCGTTGGTTTACAGTTGTAACATCTGCTTTCCATTTATGGATGAATTGATATTTTAAGCACTGTGAGATGTTCAAAGTGTCAGACCTGTCTGTTGTGTTCCTCAGTTCTCATGATACTTCACAGTTGGTTCTCTATGGTTCTCTAAAAGACCACGAATGGATTTATAGAACAGTATAGGACTTATGCCGAGGTCAAATTATACAAAGAAAAGCAATACTGATTAATTAGTAGACTTTATAATGCACTCAAAAGTGATGGATTTTATTTATTGGTATTTGAGTAAATTATGCTTATTTCCACACTTTAGAATAGTGCAATGCTTTATGTTGGTCTATCACAACACATTTCGGCTAAATTGGATCAAATTTTGTGGTTGCAATGTTAAGTGTATCTATGTGTGTGTATGAACCCACAGAGTACGGAGACCGCTGAGTCCCTTCAGCATGCGGTGGTGTATGTTCTCTAGTCTGTTGGAGGTCAAAATCAACTCGTTGACCCCTGAAGCTCCTTCAAAAGTCCCCTCCTCGATGTCACTGATACGATTATTACTCAGATTACTGCAGGGGGAAGTACAGAACAGAGAGAGAGGTGAGGCAGTAGAAATGCAATGGAAAGACGACGACTTTATAGTCGTTGGTTTTTTTCATCTGGATCCAAACTTGATTTTATGACATCGCTTAGTAACACTTTTTTTTTCTAATCACATCAACAAGACTGACTCACATCTTCCTCAACTGAGGCAACTTTTTGAAGATTCCCGTCGCCTCAAGCACCGTGAACTCATTGTTGTTCAGACGCCTGGAAACACATGAGGTAAAATCCAAGAATAATGAGTATAAGGCAAATAAGAGGGGGTAGAGACTGACATGAGGTTTCTCTTATAAATCCAACTGTAGTCAAGAAACAAAGGGTGACTCACAGCTCAGTGGTGTACTGAGGAATGTGATCTGGGATTTTGGTAAGTTTCTGGTTAGAGCAGTCGACAGTCGTGCCCTCACAACGGCATTTCTCTGGGCAGGCCAGGTCGGCGAAGCAATCACCTCCGAGCTTGCTGCGGTAATCCTCGTTACCTGTTCACAATCACAGCTAAGATGTTAATGAACACTATTGCTGTGGTAAGAAAACCTTGACACGGTTTCCATCAGTAACCATGTGCATATCCAAGGTTCAGGGTGTGGTACAAAGAGCTGAGCTCCTTTTCGCATAGTAGAAACTGTCAAAAGAAACTAAATATGGCCAAAAAAAAAAAGATAAAACACTGATCATAAGTAATTTCTATGCATCTGTGTGCTTTAAACAAATAGGTTGTCTGAAACAAAGATAAAAAAAGAAATCCAAGGAGGAAAATACTCAAAACATCTACATTTATCCGGCCGTTAAAGTTTAACGGACAGATAAATGTAGATGTTTTGAGTTAACCAACCTAAATTCACTTGACTAGATTTCTTGAATTAACAATAAAATTCTATATCAAATTGTTTTTTTGTTTTGTTTTGTTTCTTTGCTTGGCGAGAAGCAAATCATTTACAGTGTGATACACAAGCATTTTCTTAGCGTATCACTGACATAGAGAAGACGTAATACACATGTAAGGACATAAGGACACATATAAGGATACAGACACACTTGCACCCACAGGAGAAAAGAGATTAGAGGCTTTCTTTCTTTTCAGGTATAAATCCCAGTGTTAGTATTATAAACTAGACCAAACAGTATCAAAAATGAGATCACTGACAAAACCCAAACACCACATGCTCAAACACACAGGCAGGGAGTGACAGGAGTTTGGTTTCTCTTGCGTCTCGGCCATGCTGCAGGGATTTGCAGCGCCGTTCCATGGTGCTTGACAGAACCATGTTCCACTTTTGGAACCTTGCAGCCACATGGTTAGATCAAGCACAAAGGAACAACCTGCCGACTGACTGCTCCTCCACTGGAACACAGGGGCGGAGGGTAAGAGGGAGAGGAAGGGTCAGATGAGCGGGAGAGAGGATCATACAGACAGTAGAGGGGATTTTCTCTGCGGATTTGCAAAATTTCTGACTGTGGGAAGAAGGAACGGAGATGAAGGAGGTAGGATTTTAAATAGATGAAAAGAAACTGGAATATTCAGTGCCTTGCAAAAGTATTCATATACCCTAACTTTTATTTTGTCTTGTAACAGCTACATTTAGAAGATAATAAAAACAGTTTTTAAAATAAAAAATCTATGTGAACTCTGGGCTGTGCGTCTTTTCATCTCAGTAATAATCTAGCTGTCCAACATATTCTGATGTTCTCATTACCTGAGAAAGAAGCAACCTCAAACCCAACAATTCATGGCCTTGCACGGTAACTGACAGTGTAATAAAGGAGACAATAGTCAGAGAAGGAGCCAGATCTTAAAAGTAACGCTGGATGAGCTGCAGATAAGCTCCTCATTGGATTGAACTGAGCATGATCTATTTTGTAAATAATTAAGAAATAAAATACGTTAAATGTGTAAAAGCTATATTTCTTAAAGCTTTGATTGTATTTATATATCAATTATTTAAAAAAAAAATGAAGGTTTGATGTTGTAAAGTGAACAAATGTGAAAAGGTTCACTGGGTATTAACACTTTTTCAAGGCACGATATTTTGGAGAAAGGCTAGAATTAGGGTGAGCAAAAAGAGGGACTAAGTAAAGAGAGTTGGAAAGAGGGTAAAGAATGAAAAAGTTAATTTGGAAAATAGCACAAAGGGGATGAAAAAAACAGGAAATGCTAGTAATCTACAAAATAATTAACAATAAAGAGACACAAATATATTGGGAGGAAATAAGGTTAAGGTATTAATTTGTAGCAAAATACCTACAAATTAAATAAAACAGAGGAAGAGGGATGGTGAAAAACTCAGGAACGGTAGCCTGATTAAAAAGCAGAGAGGGTATAACAGTAAAGCATCTACAGACATCCACATTTCAGAAACAATAGGAAGAGAGCAGTTATTAGAGAGGAGTGGGAGGAGAGTTACAGCAGCAATACAAGAGAACCATTACTTCTGGGTACCACACACACTCACTGATGCCATCATACAGATACAAACAAGAGTAGAATACATGAAACTCTCTTGATTCCCCAACACTGAGACATACAAATATAATATCATTTATATCTTATTATTCAGACAGGAGGAGTCTCAGAGGGGTCAAAGGTTGCAGGTCATCTCTGGGAAAAGAGGTGAGGGAGTTGGAGGTTGATGGACAGTCATGTGTTTTTGTTACTTACAGCTGACATGGTGTACTCCTGAGTGTTAGAAAGGCATTAGGAAAAAGAAGAAGGGATTTGACTCATTTGTTAAAGCAGAGGGGTAAGAAAAGGTAATGAAAAAAGGCAACAAAAAAAAAAAAAATCCAGATTGTGTGGGTTCTCTCTCCCAGGGAGAGATTTAAAGTAATGTAATGAGTTGTGAGAGTCATGCAGGATGCACACATCTTCCCAGATTTTCTCGCACTTAAGGCAGGTTTAAACCCTTTCCTGTGAGAGTGTGACATTGAAAGGACAAATAACCTTCAGAAGGAGCCAACTGTGCAAACATTAAACTCCGGCCGGTGTGAGTGCAGAGCACCTGTAATCCATGAACATATTGCAAATTAAACTGGAGGATCTGAGATGCATTGCTCTGAGATGCAACAGCAAGGTTACACCAAAGAACGGAGTATGTTTATTCAACTTTACAGCCCTACATGTTGTTAAATTATTCAGCGTTGCCCCCTATGTGCTATCTAGGCTTTGAAACCTCTGTCCCCCTGGTGAGCTTCGGAGTTAATGACTGCAATAAGCACGCGCTCACACACGCACACAGACTGTGTCTTACTCTGCACACACCCTGACGCTTCCCTGTGGTAATGACCGCCTTTAGCCCTGCTACTGATCTCAAATGCAAGTCAAATTTGCATATTTCCCAACACCCCTCTGAGCATGGTGACTGTGTGACCTTTTGATGTTCTGCAGAGTAAGAAACATACACATATGCTCACAAGCACGCCCAAAATCCTCAGTTATTGTTAGACTTGGACAAAAAAGACATTGACGATAGTTTACAGCTCTTCACAACATACTGATTTACCCTTTAACCCAACACTGGTCCTCAAGATCTACTGTCTCAGAGGTATTAGATTCATCCTTGATCCAAAACATATTAATGAAATTAATGGCCCGTTGCCACTCCTTTGCCAAACTTGATGCCATGCTAAAAAGAGAATTCGGTCATTTAAATTAGCTGTGTTACAGCAAGGATGTATTAAAAATCTGCAAACAGATTTTAGATGCATCTAACAGTAGATCTTGAGCTACCTTGCAAGCAAGATTAATTTTTGTGAGATCTGTGATTTCACAAACTTCCAAAAATAAATTCTGTCAGACGCAAATAGACAAACAAACCCTCATACAGTTAATGTTTTGGATCAATGAAATGCAGTGACCTGTATGACGTAAACTAGAAGCAGCAAGCTGAAACAAAACAAAAAAGGCTGCACTGCAGCCATTTTTGCCGAATGTCTTCTATTTATTTTTTGAACAACGATCAAAAGGACGCAATTAGTGCATTTTCATGATTTGTGCATTTTACTTCCCAGCTAGTAATCACATTTATTGGGATGATAACATCCAAAGCGGATACAAACAGCCACTTAGTATTTACTGTGTGATGGCAGACAGGTTAAAAACTAAGGACACCCATGAGACGATGCACAGGTCGTATCTGTTAGAACAATGTTTGTAGACTTCATCTTTACCTGCTGCCCAACAATTTCACCTAAATACATACCCTGATACCCTACCATTCAAGAAATAAACCTGTAATGTTGTTGTGTACACAACAGCCCATGGTAAGTCTTTTTTTATATATGTATTAGTTTTACTGAATATGTATTTCTAATATCTGGGGGGAAAAAAAATCCTTGTCAAAATTACCATTTAAAAAAATGTCATTCTTCACATCTAGAGTAAACCTTCTGGATTTAGAGAAATCAATCTCAGATCCCCATATTCCTATTTTAACAGGGTCAATCTTCTTCGCCATATTCCTCTGTAGTGCTGTCTCTCTCTCTTTTAAACACATTCTCCTTTTTTTTATTTCTTCATTAAAATCTCTAGTTTCAATAGGATGAAATTTGCACTTCCTGTTGCCTGTTGTTATGGTGACTTGTCGAATCGGAGCTCCACTGATAATGGCTTGTCACACTTGCTACACATGTGTTCAGCTCTAGGAACTCTAAGTGGACTTACTTAGAGTTGATTGAAATAATTCACAGCAGCCTTGAGAAACCAAAAACTCAGAGTTCCCGACCTTAGGCTGGATCAATTTAGAGTTGAGGATTTGATTCTGAGTTTGTTAAACCTGCTTCTTCAAACAGACCCCTGGTCTCAACTGACCAGAGGAACTTCTTCAATGGGTGATGTGTCCCTACATGGCTAATAATCAATCTGTAGCGTGATTTCAGTGATAACTTTCTTACTTTTTTTAAGCAATGCTTCCCTGACCAGGACCCAGTTGTACAGATGCTAAGATGAAAACACTCAGGGGTTAAATGTATTCACAATGCGTGGGTTTCTGAAGGCAGTTTGATTGTCTGGACTTATAGTCGTTTTTAATTACAAGGTTACCAAAAACAAATGCATGCCACACTTTTCATACACCTCCCACTTGCCAATTATGCAATACTATGTGTCAATCTATCACACAGAATTCCAATAAATGCAATGTAATTTTTTGTCGTAATGTGAAAAAATATGATAAATGCTAAATGTTAAGGAATAATTTTCACATGCACTAACATGAGTATATATAAACTTGATTTTATACTGTAACCCAAACAGGACATCAGAAACCAAACTATTAACCTTTTTCAAACGAGGTCACGGTTGTGAACATAAAGCCAGTGCAAGTGTATGAGTATGGATATCCTGTTCTTCGTTAGACATGGTGCTTCATTAGTAAACAATCCAAAGAGATGATATGGATTTAAAAGGTGTCAGTCATGGCAAACTGCACTTGGTGAGTGTGCAGTGAAAATAGTTACAAAAAACAAGCACTCATGCTCCATGTACGATACCTGGGATGATATACTGTTCTCTAGCTAATGGAGAGACAGATAGCAGGAAAATCGAAGTCAGCAAAAAAAAAAAAAAGTCAGAATAGAAGAGAAGGTTCATGGTGTACAACTGACTCTTTGTGCATGTAGAGGCATTGAAAAGAGCACTGAAAATATTAGAGGTAGGGAATGTGTGGTTAGTAGAGAAAGGCTGAGGGAAAAACCCAGCAGGAAAACACAGAATGAACACAGAGGGAAAGACTGTTGGTCTTAGGTTGATTTTTTTATGTGTGAAAGTCTGGACATCCATCTTTTGGTTATCAGAAAGAAAAAGCCTCAGGGAACATGTCCGTGGGCTCATCTCTTCTATGAGTATTCAATTTGTGCTGTGCCAGGGATTTGTACCTGAGCAGCGAAACTTCTTGCTCTTGATTTGTCCGATCCGCTTGTTGGCGAGCCGCCGAGGGCTGGTGCAGCGGGCACCACTCGTCTCAATGGGATTGTCCTGCAGGTAGTCAGCCAGCCACTTCAGATGGCAGTCACAGATAAATGGGTTTTGAGCTAAATGACTGATTCACCACACAAACAGACAAAGGAACACACACAAAACAAAACACATAAAGAAGATGTTGAAACACCATACTTACATTTATATATACATATAAATGCAGTTAACATTTTGTTTATTGAACAAAGTGAAACAAATACAAGAGGCATTAGGTAGAGTTAAAGTAAGACTAAAGTTTCTTTAAAGTGGGGTTATGTGAACATACAACACTCAGAGTGAAGGCACTTAAGCAAATTACTAAAATAATCTTATAAAAAAATCAAGTTGTTACTGAAAGGAGGGGCCATTCTAAAACAAACCAAATCTTGAAAATTGGTTCCTAAAAAAAGATCTGACTGATCTAGAGTCTGTTGCTTTGAGATATACAGAAAGAATTACAAATGGTTGGGTGTTTTATTCTAAAATAGAATGTATTTCCATAACACTATTCAAAACCATTTCTAACCAAAAATACAACCTTTACTCCCTTTACTCATAATGTAATGCAGATATATGAATAGAAGGTTCACATATCTGTTCACATATTAAAGGAGTAAAAGAAAGAAAGGAAATGAAGAGGAAACTGAGGTATAGTAGGAAAGGCGGGATGGAAGAGAAAAAGAAACACAATTAATAAATGGAGGTAGGGCAAAACAAAGGAAGAAGGGAGAGGTACAAGGAAGTTAGGAAACAAGGAACGTAAAAAAGGAAGGATACAAAGATTGAAAAGAAGGACACACAGACTGTAGGCAAAATACAACATTTAAATAACTAAAACTTGTACTGGGCACACCTAATACATATGATTTCAAGTTTTTAGATCTGGCTCAGAAGGATTTTTTACAGGTCATTCAGCTGTACTTTGACATTTATTAAATTTAAAATGATTTCTCCATTAAACTGAGATTACTTTTCTGCAATTAATGCCATAAGAATAGGACAGTATCTGAAAATACTAATCACAACTCCACAATAGTCATGTAACCACAAAAAGCTATTTTGCAGATCACTATATTTTTTACATCATGGTCTTCCATCCCTAGAGACTATAAAGCTGTCTGTACTTTCAGGGCTTGCAGCAGGCAAACCACAAGGAGTGTGCTTTAGAACCAAAGTATTCATTCAAACGCAAAACATAATTTTTTTTTGTTTGTTTTCTTTAGCTGTTAATTGTCTTGTTTTGGGTCTATTTAAGCTTCTTTCTGAAAATAAAGCTATCTGATATATTAACTTGAGCCTCCATGTAGGTTAGCAAGAATTTCAAGGCAAAATAACAGAAGACATGGTTACTGTAAAACAGTGTGCTAGTTCAGCACCATGGACAGTGAATCAATCAAAAACTAAGCACCAATTAAACGTGACAATGACAACAGGTTTTAATGCCATTGTATGGTCTATGCATCTTAAAGTGGGAGGGACATAATGTATTATTATCACATAATCAGGGGTGATGTCAGAATTTGATGGCGTGTGGGAAGAAGCGTTGCAAGTTATACCCTTCTTTAGAATAAGATAAACAGGGAGACGGGCGATTAGCATCTGCCTAAGAATCAGTAAGAACCATATTTTAAGAAACATGTTAAAGTTATAAATTAAATGAACAACATTGTAATAATGATGGAGGCCATAAGCTACTCTTGATCTTTTAATTTTAAGCGGCTTAATTGTTTATTCAATTCCACTGATATTTGGAGGAGTAAAGGACTATTTTCATTCTTACAATTTTCTTTGGTCTTTTTGTTTTGTTTCATTCATGCCTTTTAAATAAATGAAATTGAAGACAGCTCTTGCTCTCTAGTATAGGAACAATGTGCAGATATTATTTACACAGGATGGTGATAAGAAGCAGAACAGCACCTATGAATGGCTCAAAAAGTAAGACTTTTGGAGCTGCCTAGTCCAGATTTAGACCTGATTTTACAAAAAGGGGGTTGTCAAACATGATGCCAATCCTTGGAAATCCACCAAGACTGCTGAATAATAAAAAAGCAATCTTGTTATAAGATTGGAGCAGTTTTCCAATACAATGATGCACAATGTTTATTGCTTGTTGCAGATATTTGGTTTGTTTCTGCCAAGAAGCAAGATTTCTATTATTTACACTTTTTATATGATATCAATATTTGAAAACTGCTTGCTGAGTAAACCAAGGTTTTCTTCATTAGACCCTGAAATATTTTTTATGATCTGAAACATTTATGTGTCACAGAAAGCAACATCATGCAAATCTTAATCAGGTAAATATGTTTAACAAAAGGATATTTGTGTGTATTTGTGAGAGTACATACAGGGTTTGTATTGCTCGTAGTGAGGAGAACGTCCCCTTTGCAATTGTTTGGAGCTTGTTGTCATATAGAGAGAGCAGATTGAGGTTGTGAAGGTCCTGAAATGCATCCACACGCAGGCATGCTATCTTGTTAGCATTTAGCAACCTGAAACAAAGAAGTGACAATATTTGAGAAAGGAAAAAAAAAATAAAAGGAACCTTATCTTGTTATCATTCCAGCAAAAATCATTCAGATGCTGCAGGTCACAGATGATGGCTTTTAGTGAGGATGTCTCTTCTCGGGTGGCAGTGCTTGAGGTAAGCACTTTTCAGCCGAATATCAATGAGATGCAGATGTGACCATTAAACTGAACCTAACTATGAGTGTGTGCATTAGTGTGGGTGTGTGTGCACTTACAACAACTGCAGTGAAAACAATCCTTCAAAGAGTCCCTTGGAAATCTCTGTGATTTTGTTCCCATACAGGACCCTGCACACAGCAAACACAGAATTAATTCAGTTTGAGAAGAATCCAGAGATTTCCTTAATATCAACAGAATAAACTGCAAAGAAAGTCAAAGCATATCCCCAAGCACCTCTGTTAAAGAATGTGTTCTCTATAAAATATATCTTTGCTAAAACAATCCTCTGGGCTGTGGTGCATATCACAAGCTGACACATGATTCAGAATTACAATGACATTTTTTAAAAAAGTTGACCTTTTAAAGCTTTGGTGCAGATATTATTAAAGACTGGCAGTTCCATAGACAAGCACTGATCCCTCACTATAAGATAATTGTTTTAAGATTCCTCTAATAAAAATATCTCAGATTCACAATTATTTATGGAGAATATGAGTAATATGTATTCTGTAACCACATAAGTGTAGAGTTTCTGCAGTATTAGAGTCAAAGTAGTCAATACATATAAGAAATTGTTAACTACAGCAAACAATATGTAGGTCATAATGACACACAAAGCGATGTTTCTATATGCAAACAGCAGGAAAAATATTCATTATCGGACTAGAAATGGATTTACATGATGTTAGTCACAACTGAACTGGGTTTATATATATATATATATACCGGTATATATATTTATATGTCATTACCCTGTCACAAGTACAGAGCAACAAAATTTACTCTCTGCATTTACAGTAACCCATCCCCCTTGGGAGCACTGGGCTGCCATTTGCAGCGCCCATGGAGCAGTGTGGGGTTAAGGGTCTTTTTGCTCAGGGACCCAGAGTGGCAGTGGGTTTCAAACTCACAACCTCAGGATTCAAGCTCTATGCCCTAACCAGTTGAACACCACTCTCCAATATGGATATGAAACCGGGCAGTTTGTTCCAAGTGTCTCTGTTTCTGCAGGTATTGACTTACATCCATACGGTTTAATGAAATTTACCTGAAAACTAAGTTCTTTTGTCTTAATATTATTGTTTGAGAACACCTGGGAAAGCTCTAGGTCCATCTTATTATTCTTATATTGTTTGCTTTAAATGAAATACAGTTGTCTGTAAATGTCTATTGTGATTTTAAATCTTCTATTTAATGGGGACATTTTGGATTAATCTGGAGCTCTGATTTAACTTAACTTCCCTGTTTTTGGCTAATTGTATATGAAGTGTTGGTTACAGAAACATGCAGCTTTTATAGCAACATTTATAAAAAGAAAATCATAGTTTCTGATGAATATCTCTGAGCTAAAAGTAAAATCAAAGCTGAAATAGAACACTTACAAAGAATTAAGGGATCGCAGACCCTGGAAGGCATCTGAAGCTAGTTCTGAGATCTGGTTGTTACTCAAATCTCTGCAAAAAAAGTGATAAAAAAAAGAAAAGTAATCAAAAGAAAGCAGAATAACAAAAGGTCAAAACCAACTACAGATGCTGCTGCAACATTAAGTTTTGATCCATGGTTGACAGACTGCAGCTTAACAGCTTTTCTACTCACATTCTGCGCAGCTTCTTATATGGAGAAAAGGCCCCAGCTGGGATCACCTTGATGGCGTTCTGCTCCAGTCGTCTGGAACCAAACATACCCTCAGACCATTGCAATGAGACATTAACATTCCCCTATCATACACTTATCTATGCTGTAATGCAAACCGCTGTTCATTCCCAAGGGCTCTGCCTAAGGGGGACTTTTCCAGATAAGGCCCTTTGATGACTGTAGCCATTTTTCTGTCACATATCGCCAATCTTTTGCCCTCCTTCACCTTTGCACAGCCAGACGGGCACACAAACTTAGGAGAGTACTCACACAATTGACTATTTGGTCTGTTTTTTTTTTTTATGCCCAGTCATTTCCTGAAGAACCGCACCAGGCGGCACATGTATGAAGGACAAAAAGAAGGAATGAACCCAATAAGGGCAAAGGTCATTTCAATGTGAAGCCCTTCCCTTAAGCCAACCGTTTGATGTTTCTGTTCTTTATTGACCACCTATGCTTTAAATGTTGCCATGGTAAATAATTGCTTCATTTCAATTACACTAAAAAATATTTTATCACATTTTTTATCAAAGTATTTCTTTTTTAAGGTCAAATTTTACTTTCTGATTTATCACATTACTTTTTAAACAAATTCAGTTACTTCAGCCGTACAAAATAATTACATGAGGGAATTTTATATCACTCTTTTTTTCCATTTTGTAGAAGCAGGCAGGCTTTTCAAGTTCACCCCATCTAATTCTCAGGTAGAAATATAGGTTTCTTTAGAGCTCAGATTAATCTCCGAGCTCCTTTATTCTCCCCGTTTCTTTCTTTGTTCTTGCTGTTTCATTTAGCAGGAATGCACTGCATGACCAAGCTTTCTCATTTCACAGATGTGTGCTTTTATTTCACTGCACAAAGACAAACAGCAGGAGTGAAAGAGAAAGGTGGTAGAACACAAAGAAGGGAAACAGAGGGACGCGCAATAAAAGGAGCAAGAGAAATATCACTGCACCCAGTGTGTCTTAATGAGTGCAGTATGTGTGTTGAGCGAAGCAGATGTGTGTGTACTTTATCTGCATGTCTTACATCTCAGTAATGGTTTCAGGCAGGTTGGTGGGTATTTCTGTCAGACCCTTCCCTCTGCAGTCCACAATGTTGTTACTGCAGGTGCAGGACTCTGGGCACTGTAACACACTGCAGGAGGAAGATGATGACGACTGATGACCTACGCAGAGACAAGGACCCTGGATTATCAGTGGGTAGTTGATATTAATGCTTCATTTAAATACAAAATGGCCAAAAGCTGTAGATGAACAAATAATTCAAAGAGAGACATAAGACTCAAAGTTATCCTGTCTGTTTATGTGACCTTGTCGTTCTGTGCTGTCATTTTATTCATGACTTTCCTGCAAAGCCCTGCAAATCATGGGGAAAACTTACCTTCCTCAGCGTCTTGACAGGCATGAGCAAAAACACAGTGAAAGGAACAAACATGTTTTCTGATGTAAAAGAGTAAGAAGAGGTAGAAGCCACAGAAGGAAACCAAAGTAAGGTCAACCTACCTGTGCACACAAACTCCTTCTTCTGCACCTCAGCCACATTGTGCCCTCGCAAGTGAGGAGGAGCCATGCACTGTGTGTAGAGGCCCAGGCGGGGGCGCTGTCGTAACCACTCGGACAACCAGGCTACATGGCAGTCGCACTGCAAGTTGTTGGAGTGAAGGCGGCTGGGCAGAGGTGAAGCAGAAGGGAGGGGAGAAGTGAGGAGGAGGGGAGGGGATGTGTTTGGTGATCGTAGGGGGACACACAGATAGAGAGAGGGCAAATAATGGAAATGATTGGAGGAGACAGGAGTGGGGAGGCAAAGGAGGATTAAAAAATATTTAAATAAGTACGGATGAGAGGAATGTCTTTCCAGATTATCGTGTTGTGTGTCAAATATGAAGCTATGCCACTTACAAGGTCCTGAGCTTTGGCATGTGGTTAAAACTGGCCACAGACAGTCGGCTGATGTTGTTATTGTTCAGAGTGCTAAAGAGACAAGAGCAGAATATACAACATGCTCATCTACATGCAATCCTGAATGCAGTGAAACAGCAAAATCCTCATAAGAAAATAACCTTTTACATCTTTGTTCAGTTGGCGGTTGAGGAAGACCTGGATGAATTAGCTCTACCTAGCTATCCATCATATTCACCTCTGCCGAAACAGTAAAAGAGCTTTACATAGTTCTGTTAGTCAGAATGGAGTGCTAAAGTTAAACATACATCATACATAAGGGTAAACTAAAATCATATTCCTTTATGCTGCTTTCCGACAACAGAAATCTAATTTCTTCAAGGTTGAGCAGTAGCTCTCAATTATTTCTGAACAGTTTTTTGGGACAACAGCTTAATTTTTCTTCATTTTCTCATTGTGTAACACATGACATGAATCCAGAAGTACCAAATTTAAGGAAATTCAGAGAAAGGTGCAGGATATCACAAAATGATTTAGCACTAGGCCTGAAAAATTCTGCCAACAATCTAAATTGTTATTTTATTTTTTACAAATATTGCGATTTTATTTTCAATTTCCTTTGCACTAAGCACAACCACAAGTGTCACTCCAGGGTTTTAGATTTTTCATGACCGTTAAAGCTTGCTTGTCCAGAGTCAATTGTTGCAGAACTTTACTGTTTTCTTTAGCTTTGTAACTTTGTTTGGAAATGGCTTCCTTCTACTTGCCTGCATAGATCGGTTTGCTCGCAGGGTTTTTCCTCTTCACTTTTTTGTGGCAGCAAGCTCATTTCAAACATATTACAACCAACCTAAGGGCTGGTGTGAAGAAAAATTAGTCTCTTAGACTTGTTAAATGTAACGTGACCACATTTTAATGCACCTTCGATTTGAAAAGTGCATTTTGTTAAATTGCAATTAAATTGCAAATGAAATTAATTGCCCAGCCCTATTTAAGTCTGCAGTTAACATATCAAGAAAAAAACTAACTTCATTATGCATAAAAAGAAATAGGAAAGCCACAGCTGAAACAATATAAAACTCCTTTAAAGCTGCTGCAGAGGCTCTGCAGTGCCTAAAAGGTCAAGGAGAGTATTAGTTGCTCTGTATCTCAGCATTGTTAGTGTTGCTGATCAAAGTCTCTTCGTCTTTTCTTATGATGAAGGGGAAAAAAACAGAAGAAATGGTAAAAGGTAGAAAAGTAAGATGACTGAGGAAACAGGTACTCACAGCACTTCCAGGTCACGTAACGCCCTAAAGGCTCCATCTTCAATGCAACTAATGTGGTTGTAGTCCAACTGTCTGCAAACACAACGACAGGTAAGACAAAAAGTCCAAATGATGTCTATGCTCCCTTCACCTCCTTTCTATTGGGCTCTTCCTGGTTGTAATATAGCTGCCTCTGCACCTATTTATGTTTCCTGCTCTCTTCAATACGACATTTACTCTTTATGTAGTAGACTTTAGCATTTACCACCTCTCTCTCTTTGTTCACAAAACCTTTGCTGAAACAATTTAATTGTACAGACACAGGAACTGTAAATAATCAGCTGTCGCCAGCACTCTGACACACATGCATAATTCCCTGTCCTTTAACAATAATTGCACGGCATTTCGAGAAAATTATCTGATGTGGTGGTGTAAAAAAGCCCAGGAAGTAGTGAATTGGTGGAGGGATCAATATTTATAGAAGTCCTGTTGTGAATTGAGTAGAAAAAAAAATGATTATGACTATAAGCGAGTCTAAACAAAGAAAACTGCAAAATGCCAGTGAGGCAACACACACACACATATCGCTGCTGACGAGCAGCGGGTGCCAGTCAATACGGCAAGCAGGAGGCACATGACATTTAACACAATGAAATATTGATGCATGGTCGAGTGAGCGCCGTGCACATAAGCTGACACGGTGAGGAGCAAGTTACAGATGTGTAAGCACTGACAGTATGGTGGTGAAAGTGGAACTTACAGGTTTTTGATTTCCACAGCTCCCCTGAAGGCTTTCCTTGGAATCCCCTGGATCTGGTTTTCACTCAGGTCACTGGACAAAGACAAAGAGAGGAGAGGAAGGGGTGGAGGGGGGGCGTTCAGTGAAATTATTTGGCAGGCAGCTTAGTCAAGCTGTCACAGAGCCACTTGCTTTGAAGCACAAGTACTTGATGTAATCACCAAAATGCAGCAGGGGAACATCAGAGCCAGAAAGATCATTGGCAAAATTGAGGTCGTTCCGCAGAGACCCCTCACTTCACAAACTACACTCATCTGTCTCTGTTTATCTCAGTGTCCGTGTCTCTACAGCCAGCTGCTACTCAACTGTGGCCTTTTGGCATCCGTGAGGCAGGTAGGAGGAGGCTTTAATTGTAACTGTAGGGGGCACTGCTGACCTCTGCTTCCCTCATGGTTTCTAGCTTCTTCTCTCATCACTAATCTTAGCAACCATTTCCATCCCCTGCTTTTAAGGAGTAAGTGATTGATGTCAGTTTGTGTGACCAGGAGCGTTGGGCTTTACGAGATTGAACATTCAGCCTCTTTAACTAAGCTGTAGCCTGCATGACTCAGAACACTTTCTCTCTCACACACACACAAAATATTCCCTTAAACATAGAAGCAGTTGCCCTTGCAGAGAAAAATGCCTCTAGTGTATTCAATTCAATTCAATTCAGTGTATTTATATAGCACCAATACACAAAAGATGTCATCTTAAGGTACTTTAAAGAGACAATTCAACCAAATCATATACTGTAGTCAGACTGGTTCAAAGTTTTCTTTCTAAGGAAAACTAGCTGATTAAATCGACTCATTGACTCAAATGCAATCCCTCACACTAAACATGCTTGTAGCGACAGTGAGGAGGAAAAACTCCCTTTTAACAGGAAGAAACCTCCAGCAGAATCAGAATCAGTGTGAGCGGCCGAGGCCGACTGGGGTAGCAGAAGCAGAGATAAAAAAGGCAACCGTCAACCAGCTCCACAGGCGGCCCCTTCCAGGAAAGCCACAGCCAGGCAGACGAGCTCTGAGCCAGCTCCCATGTCAGACGATGAAGAGAGCACATCCAGTATTGTGTAAGTACAGTGCCTTGCAAATAAATATTCTGATTCTTTGAAATTCTTGTATATTGTTTGGGAACAGAATGTCTCATAAGGCTTTTATGTGACTGACTCATAGGTGGTTGTAATTATCTTAAAAAAACAAGCAAACTGCTCAACATCTATTAAAAGAAAGTAATACAGATCTATTGAGTCAAAGCCCTATAAAGTCCACCAGCTTTGATATTTCCAACCATCTTCTGTACAAAATGCCTCAAAACTGTCAAATTGGATTGAAAAGGAATTCCAAAACCAGATTTTAAGTGCTCCTGAAATTTGTCGGTTGGATTTAGGTCTGAACCATGACTGAACTTTTCTAACAGATTATATTTAGGGTCCAGTTGTCACATCTTCACTGGGAAAATGATCTAGAAATAAGTAAAAATGTCTTAAATTAAGCGTATTTACCTTTAATTTGAGTAGGTAAATGAGACAGTTTGCCAATGGGATGATTATTTTCACTCTTAGAATATGATAAATAGATAATATGCACTTCAAATAGGACAAAGCAAATGTTTTTTCTTATCTTAAGTGTAAATTGTCTCGTTCCGTTGGCAAAATGTCTCACTTTCCTGCTCAATTCAAGAAAAAAATGATCTTAATTTAAGAAAAAATTACTTATGTAGATTTCAATTTTTGCAGTGCTTCCTCCAAAAGTTTTTCTTTCACAATTGCCCTGTATTTAACCTCATCCATCCTGAACCTTCCTTATCGCTGCAGGAAAGAAAAAGAAACACATCCACGGCATAATACTGCCAGCAATATGTTCCAAACAGCCATAAGAAAGATGTTATTTTGTTTGTAGTTGAGGGAACACAGGAGTGTGTGGTTGAAGTCCACCATCAGAAAAAAGTTTTTAGAGTTTTTTGATTTCTGAAAATACTATGATATGCTGAATGAGACATGCTAGTTATGTATTTTTCTGATATCATTCAGCCATCTCCTGACAGACAACATAACCCTTCACTGCTGACCTTCCGGCTCTTGACCTTGTCTGCGGCCTCAAACAATAGAAATCAACTACCAGCTAATGCTTATCCACATTCCTCACATTCCTCATGCTGCAGTCATATAATCAGCACTGCAGGTAACTTTTAATCTGCCTTCTTCTTTTCCTACCTCCTGCTACAAACTTTATTTAAACTGGCAATTTTGTGCTAAAAAAAAGAAAAGAAAACACTGAGGTCAAAAAGCCTCAGAGCTCTAAGTAGTTGTTTCCTTGTTCTCTAAAATCAACCTTTAAAAGGAAAATTAATGCTTTCACAGACTATGAAAATCAGTTTCCATTTAAAGAGGAGACTTGTGAAACAAAAAAAAAGCCAAATTAGTGCTGCTGGGAAGGAATAAAGAGGAAATTTTACATTTATGGAAACAGATGAAGGGTTTCAGGTCAGTGGATTCCAGTATTCATTGCATTTCTTTGTTATCTCCCATCTGTTTTGTGTACAAAAAGTTTCCAGAATGTTAGTTTGATTTAAAAAGTACACATTGTATTTCAACCCTCATATATTGTGTTTCCCAAAGATTATTAAAGAATCTATGTAAGGGAACTCAAACAATAATTTACCTCGAGCTGAACATTAATACAAAGATACTTTTACAAGGTCTTGGAAAGGGGGTCAGAGTGGGGCAGCTGATAAATTGGGATCACAACCAAAAACTATAAGCTGTCATAGACTTTCAGAAGCTTTTTAGCTTTAAGATAATATTTGTTTTAGTTAAAAGCACTTTACACCTTTAACACCATCTCCAGGTTCTGGAAAAAAAATCTTTTTATTAGTATTTTACATTCTGGTGGCTCATATTTTGAATATATTTACTGTATTAATCTGTTTTTTTAGTTCATTACTTTTGGCATTACTCCTAAATATTTTTACTTAATGTTTCTATTCTTTGCTCAGTTTATCTGTTTAGTTTTTTTTCATTTAATTTTAATTGTTACTAACTGTAAATACTAGTGGATGACTCTTTTCCTGAAGCTTACAACATGTGATGCAACAAACAACAAACAAATCAATAAGACATAATTTTGTGTGGATATCTTGTTAACAGTATTTTATAAAACCAGGGGATAATGTTCCCTGTTCACCCCATGCGCCAGAAAGTATCCAACATTTAGAATGAGCAAAGCTGTGAACGGCTGTTTTAAAATCCCATCTGAGACCTTCACTTTCTACCTGAAATCACAGAAACATCAAATTTCCATGCTAACAGGAGTTTAAATGCTTAAAGCCAATCTTCTGTGTGGAAGTACATTCACTTCCTGATGACCTGCAGACGGTCACCCTAACCTCCTTTCATCACCACAGATGGAGAGTGGGTAGCAGGTTTCACTTCAACTAGGAAATTGAGTTTTTATGAACTTAAGGGAGGATTTTCCATCTCAAAGAAACCTGATTCCTCCTAAATGTTCGGCCCACTGCTGTCTTCCCCCTTTCTTAGGTAATTCTTCCCCTTAACCTCTTCCTTTTCCTCCACATCCCTCTTCTTTTCCCCCCAAAATAGATTTGTATTTGGACTTCCCAAGATTTAACCCCTCACCTCTGCTCCTGTGCCTGTGCGGGGAGGTTGGCTTCATTAAAAGAGGCTCCAGCTGAGCCCAGGATGTATGAGTGTGTGTTTGAAAGATGCCAAAGTTATTAGAGCCACACAGGAACTCTATCAGGCAGCTAAGTTAAAAACTGTCTGAGAGCGAAGACAAAAGTCCTTTTAAAAAAACAAAAAAACAAAATGTTTTCAATAAATCCATGACAGCTGACATTTTCAGCATAGGAGGTTTTATAGCAGGTTTATAGATGTAGAGGTGCAAGTCAGAGATTTCATTTCTGTCCAGATTTATAACAAAAATTGGCTCAATTTAAAATCTTTTAAAGGCTTAATAAAAGTAATCAAAATTCATAAAAAGTAGGACCCTCCAATAGTAAAGAAATAAGAAATAGACTGGGCTTTATTGGGGGGTACCATATTAGGAAGGGGAGTAAACACAAATGCACATAAAAGTTTCCAGATTAGATTTTTTATAAATTGTTAAGCCTGATATTTTCTCCTTTGCAATTGTAAACCACACTATGTTAGTTTGCTGCATTGTTTGAACAATACATGCAATTAATTACTATTAACATGACAAAATGTGGATAAGGTTAAGGAATCTTAATGCTTTTAAATGGTATTCCATAAGAGGATTAAATCACTTAGGATATAAGTAATTTGCTTCAGTACATCAGTAGTTTTCAGTTTTTCTTGGCTAACATAAAACATTAAGAAATGTTTTCAGCAGAGGTGAAAAGAGGAACAATTGATCAAAGCAAAACACAGACTGAGGTTAAACACATTAAACAAACCCATCGCGTCCACTCTGACCAGACCTTTGATGCACTGCTTAACGCCGTTGGCTTTTTATTTAAGGGCTTTCATGAACAAAATCTTTAAAATAGTCAACACAGATCTGTGCTGGGACTTTAAAGCTTGTCTGGTGAAGTTTTCCACATCCTCCCACCCTCCTCTCTCTGTGTTTTTCTCACCTCTGGTGGCCAAAGATGTGAGTGTGTGTATGTGTGTGCCTGATAGAGTCAGGTCTCCAGTGTTAAGAGCTTAGTGCTGATTTTCTAAAGAGTCCTTTTAAGAGTGAGTGGGGCTTTTGACACCCTCCGTGTCTAAGAAGACCTGGCCATGAAAGAGCTGCACTCAATTCTCACACATGCACCCCTCGTCCCTTCACCCTGTTCTTTCACTCTCACCCCGGACACACACACTGTTGCTCACTGTTGTACAGTTTCTGAATCTCTTTGTATGGGAATTAACGCCACGAGATTCTTCCCAGGTCAGCCAAACTCCTGGCTCCTGTGGAAGTGCATGTGCATGTGTGGCTAGATACGAGTACCAGTAAACTAATCATCTTGTTTAAATCCCTTTTTGAGAACTTAATCCTATTAAGCATACAAATGTGCAAATGACC